TTCGATGAAACGCTGGACCAGCACTTCATCCTGATTTCCACCACGGCTGGAATTCGATTCCCGTTTGTTGCCTTTCACCATCCAATCCATTCATTCACTGTTAGTACTGCCATTTACACGAATCTTGGATACGTACCCGCCGCCGCCTGGCCAGTTGGATTTTTGGACCAGGGAAGTTTTGATATAAAAGGACTTCATTGCCACTCTTCCCCCGAAGCGGTTTTCTCGAAAACAAGCAACCCCACCGAGCTGATCTACTAGACTAGTTCTTTGTCTGCCTCGACACTTTTTTTTTCCGACTTTGCAACAGCTTGTGCTTCCTCTTTTCAGCAGCCGAGGCACAAGCTTAGATACCCTTTGTCGACGACAACCCGACCAAATTCATCTCAGAACGCGCCTCAGGTATCCGCCAACTCCGGCCTCAAATATAGATCAACAATGGCTTCCAACCAAGATAATAAGGCTGTCGCCCCCGACGCCGCCGTTCCCGCCGGCCAGTCCACCACCACAACCACCAACGACAACAACAGCGAGCGCAACTTGCCCAAGGAGGGCGAATACATCCAATGGCGTACTCTCCCAGCTGGCAATCCCGACCAGTTGAACCGCTGGTCGCACTTCTTGACTCGTGAGCATGAGTTTCCTGGAGCTCAGGTAAGTGATGAAGCTATTACCATTGCCATCATTCGCTCTTGATGCTACCTACCTACCTACCCTCACGTCACGTCATGACATGACATGACAAATTCCGCTGCTTTCACCCTTATTCTTTCACTGCCGAGCTTGATTAAGCGGATCCCACACACACTACACACATACACACACATACCCAACACCTCGGGTTCAAAATTGGGGTTTCGTTCGGCAAAAGGATCCCGAGCCCCGTCCGTCACTCGCTTCGTCATTCATATGCCTTATCTGGATGGATGGATGGGGGATGCGGAGATGTCGTTCATGAGGGGTAGGTAGCTCGGGGCTGCTGTGGGGTACCATAGTAGCTTTTGCATGGGGATACATTCCTACATGGACAGTGATATGGGTCCCCCCCCTGACGACGATCATGAATTACATACAACGGGTTGTACCAAAGCAGCAGAAGCTCGGAATAACTAACTAACATGACAATTACTCAACCATGTAGGCCATGCTCTACGGCGCCGGTGTCCCGAATAAGGACATGATGAAGAAGGCGCCGCATGTCGGCATTGCGACGGTCTGGTGGGAAGGCAACCCCTGCAAGTGAGTTTGTACCTACCCAAAGGGATGAATGAGATGATATATGATGAGTGGGTGAGGGTTGAGGACTAACATGGCTATAGCACCCATTTGCTGGATCTTGGCCAGAAGGTCAAGAAGGCCGTTGAGCGCGAGAAGATGCTCGCGTGGCAGTTCAACACCATTGGTGTCTCGGATGGTATCACCATGGGCGGAGAGGGTGAGTTTTGTTACCTCTATGCCTCCATGATAGGTGATATGAGATCAATGCTAAACATCACAACCAGGCATGCGCTACTCGCTTCAGTCACGCGAGATCATCGCCGACTCCATTGAGACCGTCACCTGCGCTCAGCATCACGATGCCAACATCTCCATTCCCGGCTGCGACAAGAACATGCCCGGCGTCATCATGGCCGCGGCCCGCCACAACCGCCCCTTCGTCATGATCTACGGCGGCACCATGCGCGGCGGCCACTCCGAACTCCTCGACCGCCCCATCAACATCGTCACCTGCTACGAGGCTTCCGGCGCTTATACGTACGGCCGTCTCAAGCCCGCGTGCCCCAACAGCACCGCCACCCCCTCAGACGTCATGGACGACATCGAGCAGCACGCCTGCCCCGGCGCCGGCGCCTGCGGCGGCATGTACACCGCCAATACCATGGCGACCGCCATCGAAGCCATGGGCCTCACCGCGCCGGGGTCCTCCTCGTTCCCTGCGTCTTCGCCCGAAAAGTTCCGCGAGTGCGAAAAAGCCGCCGAGTACATCAAGATCTGCATGGAGCAGGACATTCGCCCGCGCGACCTCTTGACCAAGGCCGCGTTCGAGAACGCCCTCGTGCTCACCATGATCCTCGGCGGTTCTACCAATGGCGTCCTGCACTACCTCGCCATGGCCAACTCGGCCGACGTCGACTTGACGCTGGACGACATCAACCGCGTCTCGGCCAAGACGCCCTTTTTGGCTGACATGGCCCCCTCGGGCCGCTACTACATGGAAGACCTGTACAAAGTCGGCGGCACCCCCGCGGTCCTCAAGATGCTCATCGCCGCCGGTTATATCGATGGCACCATCCCCACCATCACCGGCAAGTCTTTGGCGGAAAACGTATCCGACTGGCCTAGTCTCGACCCCGATCAAAAAATCATTCGTCCTTTAAACAACCCCATCAAGTCCCAGGGACATATCCGTGTCTTGTACGGAAACTTTTCTCCCGGAGGCGCTGTCGCCAAGATCACAGGCAAGGAAGGCCTCTCCTTCACGGGAAAAGCCCGTTGTTTCAACAAGGAATTCGAGCTCGACGCCGCCTTGAAAAACTCGCAGATTACCGTCGAGCAAGGAAACCAGGTCCTGATCGTCCGGTACGAAGGACCGAAAGGCGGGCCAGGTATGCCAGAGCAACTGAAGGCTTCAGCGGCGATCATGGGCGCGGGCCTGACGAATGTCGCGCTGGTGACGGATGGTCGGTACTCTGGTGCTTCGCATGGGTTTATTGTGGGCCATGTGGTGCCCGAGGCGGCGACGGGGGGGCCGATTGCGCTGGTGAAAGACGGGGATTTGATTACCATTGATGCGGTTAGGAACCGGATTGATGTCATTAGGACTGTCGAGGGGGTGGAGGGCGAGGAAGAGATTGCGAAAGTGTTGGAGGAGAGGAAGAAGGGGTGGAAGGCGCCGGTGATGAAGCCGACGAGGGGGGCGTTGGCCAAGTATGCGAGGTTGGTGGGGGATGCGTCGCATGGGGCTGTTACTGATTTGGGTGGGGATGCGTACTAAGTCTAGAGGGCATACTTAGATGGCGGACGGCGGCGGCTTCCTACTCTACGACGTGGGCGGATAAAGAATGGTTTTTTTTTTTTTTTTCGAGAGAGAGAGAGAGACTCATATAAATGGTAGCATTTCGCTTTGCTTTGCCTTAGCTTTGGGCCTTGTTTTTTCTTTCTTCCTGCTTGCTTGCATTTGTTCGGCTCCATGCAGTGGCGTCCAGGAGAAGGTCTTTGTCTTTATACATAGTGGCAAGGAAAAAGAAGAAGAAGAAGAAGGGGAGGAAAGAAGGAAATGAAAAAAGAGGACATTAGACAGATTACACATAGATGGAAATTCGCTTTTGTTTCTGTTGACTATGTAGGGTACTACCCATGGGTACTATCTATTTCCCGGGTGACATAGAGGTGTTCTCTGGGATGTAGTGATGTGTGAGTAGTGAAATCATATCATATCAACGTCCACGATGTTCCTCGAAAATACCAGTCGCCGTGACTGCCCGACATACTACCAAAGATAAGTAGGCAACAAGTGATGTTTAAAGATGATAGAAAAGGAATAAGGGGGCAGATTCATGTTCATCCAGCCAGCCTCTCTCGGTGTTTATAGTCAGCCAAGTTCGTTTACTTGATGCCTGTCACAGACTAACTAACCGTTGACTACTTGAATAGTGTACAACAAGCACACTTGAGGTCTTCTAATGCATTGTGCACAAAACTCGTGCGTGTCTTGTTTGTGAACATCGGAATGTTCATGTCAAGACAGGTAGGTCAGTGAGATGTAGGTAGGCATGCAGTCGTTATTCTCCAAACACGATGAGATGAGGTCGTTGAGGCTCAGGGATACTTGATGAACTGGCTAACATGTACCGTATGGACCTGGATGGATGGATGGATACACCAAAAGCCGTTACCGACCTTGGCATTCAAAGTTGAACCTTCAGTTTGATTGATGGGACAGGGGAGAAATTGCACAGTGTAGGTCTCTGCTACATGTACATTGCTATACTCTCCATTAGCCCGCCGTGTCGATGAGGGTACCTAAGGAACTTCAGCAGGCACACAATTAATGACCAGGGTTAGTGGGGACGACTTGGACGCGGGGAAGATCCAAAAGTCGTGGGTAGGGTTAGATGAGCGTTTGACTTTCCACGGTCTTGGTACCGGTACTTTGTCATGAGCTGGTGTTGTCACCGACTTCGGGACACCCTTCACTCATCCTATTTATTTCTCTGCTGTATCGGTCATGAACTCGGCTGTGAGGCTAGCTTGTCGCTACTTAACGCCCACTGCCCTGACGTCCATTACCGCCAATGTCAGTTCCAGCCCTGCTTGTGAGCAGTTCCTTGAGTTCAAGAGGACTCGGCTATGTACTCTGGTCTGAGGTAGCCGGGTTGTACGTTTTGTCTTAGTTTTGGTAAAAAGATGTGTGTGTCTCTATCAATTCCTCTGAGATGTGGCGCTTGTAAAACAGAAGGCAAGTTGAAGGTGTTCGACGGTCTCTGATCTTCTGTCGTTGAAACAGTTTATGACAGACAGCTGCGATGCCGACATAAACTCCGGCTCGAAGCCGGCTCTTGGTACGCAAGTACATGGCTGGATTGGGGTTCCCGTAATTGATGAGTGATCATGCAATAGCATGTGATGGGGCTTGGGTTGTATCAGCCATGTTGAGGGTCCATATAAAAGTCGATAGTCGATATGGTGACACGCAAGAGCTGCATGTAGTGACAGTAGTGTAGTGAGAGTGCATCGTAACACCAAGCTTTTGGGCGACGGACGGTTATGATTTGTCTGATAAAGGGAACTCGAGATGGATCGAGATGGAATGATGGAGGTTGGGTTCATCCAAAGCTGACATGGCAATGTTTCTCTTGTTGGACTTTTTTCTGACGGGTCGTCATGAAATTGACAGGACGATGAACGGAAGGAGGTTCAATTCGACTTGAGGAGTATGTAGGAGCAGCTTTTGGTGGCTGGTGGAGTACAAGGTGCAGGCTGCTTGTTTTAGCTCAGACTCAAACCCACAACAGCAGTGACTTGTATGCACCATCGCCAGAGGTAGAGAGGAAGTACCGGTCGGAAGAGGTACTGCCAAGTACACTACGCGGGTCAGATGTAGCGTTTGGGGTCATTGTCGCGCGACCTTCAGCAGCACATGTCTTGAGTTGGGGTTGATGAAAGGAAACGAGGAATACCGTACAGACCTCATGGCGAAAACCTTCAGTTCGTTGTCGACATTCTCTTCAACTTTATTGCGCTCTTCCCTCCGCCTTGATGGCCCTTCCTTTTCCTTCCTCGAAAACTCTCAGCTCAACGCTGCGACTTCCTTCACTTCCTCTTGGCTGCCATTGTCTGAATGCACAGATCTGCAGAATGGCCTGTGCGCGGTCTTGTGCAAAGGTACGTACCGAGGGAGGGGTGGATGAGGGGTCCAGTTCATCCCTGGCGTCGGTCCATGGAATCAGATTTGATCATCTCGAAACATCCATGAATTCTCAATCTTCCTATATTCAACCCAGAGACTCCGTTTTCGTGAGGCTGCCAAGACGAAAGTGCGAGGTAGCATTCAAGATATCGATATCAGTGACGCGAGAATGCGATGCGATGAATCGAGACATTTCGCCGGCTCAGCTGGGAATCGTGGCTTGGACAAGGAAACTGGGCCAATCATGGGGACGCCCAAGCCTTGCCTTCGTAATCCAAAAATCCTGAAATGTTGATGTTACGGCTTCAGAGTCAATACACGTAACCATTTTCCATTCACTGAACATCTCCAAGGACTCATGGTTTGACTAGTTATTTAACTTTTTCCGTCTGATCTGGCGCCATCCATTGACTATTGCATTGCGTTACCGACGACGGGCACTTGTTTTGTTCGACCAGCGACCAACAAGGCTCAAAGGCTGCACAGTTCCGCGTGCGTACCCGTCTTTCATGACTTCATCACCTGGCAACCCCTCCATTTCTGCCATCCCATCCTAGCCAACGGTCCGGCAAGCAGGGAGCATCGGTCCGGCGTCTCCAAAAACAGACGAGATTCCAGTCCGATTGTGTGGGTCACGGGCTCAGAAAAAAAAGAGAGCTTTTTTGTGACATCCCCGCTTCCATCGGTCCCCCAAAACGGAGCTGCTCCCAGCTTTGACAAGCCACAGAGGTACCTTTATTTTTTATTGAGGAATTGCAATCATCGCCAACCGAATCGAACAATCACCATCCAGGAAATCCGGACATCTCGGTCGACAGACACTAAAAACAAGTCGAGGGACTTTCCGTGGTCCACAATTCCTTTTTCCACTTCTCTCCGGTCTCCCGTCACATCCATCATCTGTTGCGCGCGCGTTTGCACTTTCCAAGTCACAGACAGCTTTCCGCATCGATCCAGTGCTGCCGCCATCCCCACACCCGAAATAACTGGCCTGCCGCTAGAGCCAAATTCCCAAGGCACCTACGCTACCTCTACCTGCCTCCAGAGCCCCAGCCACCCCTCCCCGGCGCAACTCTCCCGTCTCTTCGTTTTTTTTTTGACTCGACTCGAGGTCCCCTTCAGGTTCTCTTTCCCGTCGAGGTACTTCTGTCCATCACTCAGCAAGTCGAGGAAGCAGACCCAAGACCCTTCCCAGCACAGCACAGCACAGCAGCAGCAATAAGCAGATTGCACACTGGGAACTCGGAGAGTACTTTGCGACAACCTTCCATCGAGGTCGACAAGAGGTTCCCGCCCACGCGCGCATCACTCGGTCTATCGCCAATACCTCAACTCTACCTACCTCTACCTCAAGTTTTCTGCAATCCAGACAAGAGAACGTTAAAGTCACCTCTACACATACCTTACCTACCCTTTGCATCGCATCTCCCACGTCGCTCCGGTCGTTCGGGACTTGGGTGCAACTTTGAACAAAACCTGCGAGGATAAAAAAGTTATTTGACACGGTCAATTCTGCCAGTAAGTGCATCTCGCTTTTCTCATCCCTTCGAGCTACTGTGATCGATATCTCCCCCCATGCCCCTGTCATCCATCATCCATCCATCCATCCATCCATCATTCGCTCTTTTTTTTTTTTTTTTGCTCACTTGCACACATCCCGATCCATCATTCAATTTCCCTTTTTTGCGCGCGATAACGACCCAGAAGCCGAACCACGGTATCATGTTCGTGCTTTTTGGGAATGTCGTGAGCACTTTGCATCGCACTTGCACTGCACACTGTCTCTGCTTGGCCTGTCTGCCTGCCCCATCTGGTTACTCTCGTTTTTTACTACCGAGTTTATCCAGTGTGGGCTTGGTGTTGTTACTAGCTGAGCATGACGCCGCAGCCTGCCGCAACATCAAAAGATGCAAATAAATGCCACAACCACCACTGTCGCTGCTCTGCCCGGCCTCATCAATTGTCGACCAACCCCCAACCTGCCCGTTGTGAGAGAGATATGATTGCTGCTGCTACTGCTGCTTCTGCTTCTGCTGGTCGGCTAGACTGAACAGACGGCAACCCAGCACATGCACATTTGTCTCCAACGGGAACAAAAGGGACATGGGTTTGGAATGCGTGGGATTCCCCATGCAAGTGGTCAGCACCGACGCCTCCAAATTACCTACCCTTCATCCTCCGTCCTCCCCCTTCCTTTTCCTTCTCCTGCGTGCAGCCACTCAACCCGTTCGCGGGTTGGGCTGACCCAAGACCGTCACTTTTCCCCGGTGCCAGTGTGTGGTCGCCACACGGGCAGTGAGGAAGTATGACGCGGACTGGACCAGGCTCAATGCTGAGCTGTGATTTGCTGGAGCTCAACCATTCACTTTGAGCTCCGGATGGTCACCACAGCACGCAAGCAAAATGCTGGAAGAGGAATAAGAAAAAAAAGGGAAGAAAGAAAAAAGACAGCGAAAAAGAAGAGGACATCAAGACAACAAAACAAGCAGCAAAAAGAAGGGAGCTTATCCGCGACAGCAGGCGATGACAGAAATGAAAAGAGATTGAAAAGGAAAAAAAAAAGAGGCAGGCCAATGCATCTCCCATCTCACAGGCATATCTGGCAGCCCAGAGCGGCAGAAGCAGACAGTCAAAAGCAGAAGCAGAGCAAAAGCAGAGCAGAGCAAAAAGCAATTCGTCCGTTGGCGACAGTCACAGAAGTTTGCTGCAGCCCCGAGCGTCACGAAAAAAAGGGCGTTAGCTTGGCCAAGCCTTTTTCCCCATTTTATCTCCATCAGCTCATTCTCTCTCCGTTCCCCCATTCAATTTGCCCGCCGCCTGCAGAGAGCAAGGGACCAAAAAAAAGCCAGCGCTCAGTCATCGTTCACAAAGCCCAGTTTACAACCAGTCCTCAGCATCCACACAAAAGCAATCCCATCCATTCGATTGTTCCTTGATACAAACTATTTCTGAATCTGCACTGCTACAGTTCAGCCGTTACTGACTTTTTGAACTTTTTTCACCAAAAAAAAAAGACTCGGTCGGCAGCAGCAGCAAGAACACGACAATTAGCACAATGGAGCAGTGGACGATTCCGCCGCAGCCTATGCCCGCCATGGGGTCAACGGAGTACACTGTTTACCCCAACTCCACCAGCCACCCCAATGGCCTTCAGTAAGTACCTCTTTCCTTGTACCTTTCTCGTATCTGTCTGTCCTTCCCTTCCCTTTCCTGTCCCCAGAGCAGAGTGGTAGTAGTGGGGGAACATGTGCGATACATACCTCACTCGGTCGGTGCCTTGAGTTCAAGACACGCGCCGTCGTCGTTCCTGTTCTCTGTTCTCTGTTTGTCTGTTCTTTATTTTTCTGTTGTTGTCTACCTACCTACCTACCTTTCCTTGTCTCATCATAGCATCTTCTCCATCTCTTCCCTCGACACAACATTCATTGTGTGTGTGTGTGTGTGTGTGTGTGTGTGTGTGTGTGTCTGTGTGTTTGGGACTAGGTTACTACTGCTGCTACTCGCCTAGCTACTAGCGACCAGTCGGCTCGGCTTGAGAGACCACTAGTGTGGTCTGGTCTGCGTAGTCGGCCCTGCACGAGAAAGCGATCCAGGTCCCCGTCACCCACCAGCATCCCGTCGAGTGTCTTTCCCCTTCCCACGCCCGCGCGCAACAATCACTTTTACATGATACATGCTCCTTCCTCTCTCAGACCTTCCCCATCCACCATCACTTTGATTTCTTCTCCATCATTCATGTACCCCATCTCCATGCCCATGTACTCGTCGCGTGCCGTCCTGGGCCTTGTTTGTCCTCCTCTTCGTCTGTAGTGTTTGCCGAGTCGACGGGACACTTGCAAGACTTGGGACAAAGAACGAGTACGAGTAACGACTCGCTTATCCGGGTACCAGCTACTCCTACAAACTGCTGTACTGTACGAGCGGCAGTGCAAGCAAGCAAGCAAGCAAGCAACAGGAGCAGGCATATCGACATTAGCAGCCGAGGGCACGAAAGACGTTGGGACTGGACTCCTTGTCGCGCTAGCATCAGTCCGTCAAAAAGTCGACGCAAGCACGGGCATCATCCGTTTGACAGACAGACGGGACCTCTCTGTCTCTCTCTCTCTCTCTCTGCCCCCCTGCCGCCTACCTCTACAGTACATCTACCTACAACACGCGCCGCCGCTGGCCGAGACCCTGCCTGGACTTGGACTTGACCAGACACGGATGAAAGTGGGTTGGATAGACACCTACCTCCCCTCTACTTCTGTCGCCTGGCTGGCCTCGTACCTCTGCATATTATTACCCACGCACAGAAACAATTAACCATCCTTTGACTCGGCCTGTTTCGTCATCCTTTCCCACCCGTCGGTCATCGGCGCGCGCCAAAAAGCTACCTCTCGGGCCTTGTTTCGATACCTTCCTTAGTTGATCCCCGCCATTGCCCTTGGAACACCCCTTCTTTTCTTCGTCCCATCAACAACACTCCGTCACTACACGTACCCGTGTTCGCGCGTGCGTTCACGTCTGTCGACTGCGACCCCTGCTGTCGCGGTGCAGCCTGGTGCTTCGTGCCCCAGGCCGACCCGAGGACGCAGCGACCCATCGCATCGCGACCCGCACGCAACCCGCAACCCACCACCGTCCGTTGCCAGCATGAAGAAACAACAACAGCAGCAGCGGGTCCCTAATGACGTTCATGCTCAGGCATGGCGTCAACCCACGCCGTCGATGCCGGCGCTGCCACAGCACCATCTTCCTCCGCATCAGCAGCAGCAGCAGCAGTTGCAGCCGCAACAACAATCACAACAACAACAAAGCGCGTTTGCTAACCAACCCGCCTGGTATCCCAGCCCGAACCACTATGCCCAGCAGCCCGAATTGACTCGTCGCGACCAGCCGCCCATGGACTTTCGCGCCTACGCCCAGAGCCAGCCGCAGCCGCCGCAGCAGCAACATGCCCAACATCAACAACATCACCAGCAGCACCAGTCCCCACACCAGCAGCACGCCCAGCACCCACAACACCATCAGGCTGCCCCCGTCCAGCCGTCCATGCCCCATGCCCCACAACCTCAAGTGACGCCGCAACAGCCAGCCCAGCAGCAGCAACAGCAACAACAGCCTACCCCCGTTCCTGCTCCCGCCCAGCCAAGAGGCCGTAAGCGCAACGCTCCCGGCGCGCAACCTTCTCCCCATCCCCAACACGCTCCTCAGATCGCCCACGCGCCGCCACACGCTCCTCAACACCAAGCGCAACATGCTCCTCCACACCACGCGTCGCAACCTGGCCAGCCTCAGCATGCGTCCGTCCCCCAGCCTCCTCAACAACAGCAGGCTCAGCAGCAACAGCCCCAGGTTCAGGCCCACCAAGCTGGCCAAACCGCTCCCCCCGCGCAGCAGACTCCGGTCCCTCCTCCGGCCGCTCAGCCCGTCCCCGTTCCTCAGGCCCAGGCTCCGGCTCCGCCTCAGGCTCAGCCTGCTGCTCCCGTCCCTGCCCCAGCCTCCGATGCGACCGCTCCGCCAGCGAAGAAAAGTCGCACCAATACCCCTTGGACTCCGGCAGAGGAGCATCGCTTGAAGCAGATGCGTGATGCGGGTAACAGTTGGGCCGAGATTGCCAAGGTACATCAATCTGTGTTCTAATTCGAAGAATGACCAAAGCTGACCATAATCCAAACAGACCTTCCCTACCCGCACTGAAGGCTCCGTCAAGAAACACTGGTACAAGGATATGCACTATGCCGAGTTTGCTGAGGATGAGGTAGTTAGCGCCCACCTTCTTTTCACCCTTACCTACATTGGTGGCATGCTGTTGTTGTGGTGAGAAACCAGAGATGCTGACTGAGACGTCAAACAGAGTGCCGCCCTCATGAACGCCATCAAGGAGTACGAGAACAACAAGTGGAAGGCCATTGGCGCCAAGGTTGGCAAGCCGGCCAAGGCTTGCGAACAGTATGCTAAGGAGCATTTCCCTGGTAAGTTGTGCTCCCTTGTTCCCCGATGTTACCCTGAAAGAAAAAGACCAGCTGTGCTAACGTTTGTGTTTGTTTGGAATAGAGCTCTTCGCGCCTCAGAAGGCTCGCTAGAGATGGATGACTACGTCATCTCCGACACGACAAGGGTCTGATTGCCAGTGACGAGCTTTGCAAAGCTGTACGCTGTCTGCAGCGTGGTCAGCAAAAATACTCTCATAAGGAATACATCTGCCTTGGCTCTCGTGGCCTAGGCGGCTGCGGGGCAACTCTCTGGCAATCGCAGTCGGATGACCTGGTACCCTCGGGTTCCTTGGGTTTCCGACATCTCCGGGCCGGACCATATAAAACCATCAAAGTCAGGCTTTAGTTTAGTCATGGGCGTTTTGGGATGCAAGATCAATATCTGGTAGACACACGTCTTTGGTGTCCGCCAAAGGTGGGCATTTACTTGTCCGCCAAATCGGAAATGGATGAAGAAAGAAGAACCTCAATCGAATCGAAGAAAAGTTTCGTTGTTTCCTTATTTTCTCTTGGGCTTGGACTTGTCTATTTCGGAAGTTGGGAGAAAGGATGGAAGGCCTTGTTATGGAAAAAGATTTCTTGCTTTGCTTGCGCGCGCGGGCGATGGGTATCAATCGTCGCTTGGTTCACAAACTCTCTCCTCTTGCCTTTGTTGATGTGTTGATGTCGATGTTGTCGTGTTGTGGATGTCGTGAACATGGAGGGTTGACGTGACAAAAGAGGTGGGTGGGGTGGATATAACTTTCATGTGGAGGAAATTACTCGACGACTTGATGGGGTGTCCAAATCTAAACAGATCACGGTGCCAGGTTGAAGCTGGATGTTGTTGTCTGATGGTCAAGGGATCCCCGGGGACGGACTTAGTTCGAAGGTTAGAGAGATTGATCCTGTTCTTGTCGATAGTCAATGTTGGTGTAGTCTAGCGGGAGGGTACGTAGTAGCGGGTTAGCAGGTTGGTAGTTAGTCGTCGTCGTCGTTGTCGTCACTGAGTTGCTTTATACCCCTTCGCGTTCTTGACTATTTTCTTTCTTCGACAGCTGTTCCTTCGTGTTGCAGCAGATCTATCACTCGTCCAGTTAGGTAGGTTACCGTCTCACCGCGGTCAAGGGGAAGCCTAATATCAATGACGGTGGGTGAACGCAAATTCCCTTGAGTATAGAAATTTTAATGAGAACGCTGTTACGCGTCAGGTACAAAACACCCGCCTGGACCGAATGAATGGAATTCTACCCGTTGACGACTGTATATGATCCCTCTCATCCGGGAGGCAGTCAGTCGTCGACCGGGCAAGCCCGCGCATTCCGTATTCCGTATACTGTATACTTCCTTCCGAGTCCGAAAACTGCTGAAGGGACGTATGTTGGACGCAGGTACCTATGTCTAGGTACTTATGGCCATTGTTAGGCTTAACCTATAATACGACTTTGCTGTTAATTTTTCTCGAGTCGAGTCGAGTTGCTCTTGCCCTTCCTTTTTTCCCTCCTCTCTTTCTTTTTCTTTTTCCTTCCTTTTTAAAAGAAATAAACAGAACTATACCTATACAAACAAACAAACAAGCAAACCATACAAACAAACAGACAAACAAATAAAGAAATAATACAAATGTATTATATTATATCGACTATAAACATGGGAGCACACACACGACGCTAAGTTTAGGTACCTACCTCTAGTTAGTGTAGTTGGTGTATGGTAGAGTATGGACAGGGACAGATACTGTAGGTAGGAAATTAAATATGTTATGATATGAGTTGAGTTGAGACGGTAATGAGAGTTGAGATGAGATAGTGGTGAAGGAGAGGATGATGATGATGGAGAGGATGATGGTGATGAAGCTAGATGTTGAGGTGGAAGGAGGAGGAGAATAATAATGAGTTGTAAGGAGGATAAGGTGGGTACTTATTATTTCTGTATCCAGTCTACCTACTACTCGCGTATGGTGTCAGTCTAGACTATGTAGGTTGATTTAAATCGTTCCAGCGAGGATCGCGGTGTCAAATGGGAGTTAAAGTTCATCATCAGTTTTGGGTTGATAGAGCGAGTCAGAGAGATACCTGCGGTTGGGTGTGCTGTCAACAAGTTCCTGTTAGTGAGGTACCTAATGAGCCGTTTGATCGCTCCCCTTTTCCGCTATAACAGAGCCTTCATTGGGTTGGAACAATGTTTGGATGCAATGTGTATTGTCTGTTTATGATATCTACAAGTATGTTATTCCTGATTTATTCACGTAGCTAAGGAAGAGACGAGTCCTGAGCAAGCTTCTGGTGTCTTCTTGTCCCTACCAAGCGTCTTGCCGTTGGGGTTGCTGAAGTCTTAATTGAAGGTGTATTCAAGCCCTCATCAGTTGATCCAGGCTTTCAAATCTTTCAAATTCCCCTTACACCAGGCCGCGCACCAGTGCTCTTATACCTAGGTAGGTAGCAAGTATTGCGTCGAGGTATGTACATCAGGAGCATGAGGGTCGCAGCCGCCCGCAGCTGTCAAAGGCGTACCGAGGCACCCAAGCTATAGTTTTGATCTGCAAAAATGTATAACTTTGATTGCAGTGCAATTCGTGGAGGCTTGTACACAAAGTGTCAATGAATTGCGTTTGGTTGTCTCACCACTTGCCTCGTATGGGGTTGTACAAGGCACCAGAGAGGACGAAAGGGGGGGTAGAGAGATCTGCCAAGAGATGGTCGAGGATAATGATTATTTGGGGATTTTGATGCTGCTGCTTTTCAGTTGGAGGCCTGTGCCATGGAACCGGTGCAGCAAAAGCAAAATGAAAACCAGAGGCGCGGTACATGCCACTGCAGGAGAAGCCAACATCTCTCGGTGATGCAAGTTAGTTCCTAGAAGGGAAGAAAAGTGAGAAAATCAAAGTAAATGTGCGAGGTGCAATGGAACGCATTGCAGGCTCGATCTCGAGCCACAAGTCCAAACATGTGAATGCTCGTGGTGATTCCAAAGAATCCATCCAGTCTGGGCAGGCAAGGCCAGGTCCCTCGACGACAAGGTGTGGTGCAAACATGTCCTTGAAAATTCGCGAATCGTGATTGGTAGGAAAATGAGGCGGTACCGAGACGTTTTGTTTTGCCTCATCATCATCACACCCACACCATACGTACCACCATCTTTGGTAAAGAAAGAAGAGAGACATGATTGCCGAAAATAAACCTCAGCTGTCTGTCTAGCTGTCCAGGGACAGAGAAAGCGATTCACGCGCTGAGCCCAGATGTCAGGCAAGTCCAGCTGTGAATACGACGGACGGCATGGGTGCGTGGCGATTGGTACATCAGCCCGCAAGTAAGCACACCTCCACGCACGACTTTCTCAGCTTCACCCAAGTCAAGCCATTCAGTGTAGTGTACATAGTACACTACGCATCCCAGATCCCCAATCACATCAATCACCCTGCGCGCTTGCGGCCCATCGATTCTCGTGGGCTAGGGTTGCAAGTCTGAAGAGTTCGTGACGGCTCTTGCTTGGCTTTATGTAGGGAAAAAGCCACAGCGTTGACTGTCTGTCGTGCATAAGTCCCTTTGCACATAAACCGTTGTCCATTCGTTGTCCGTTAAACTTGACCTCACTCAATTCCCAGACCTTTGGATCGGAGCGGACAAGTAGAATGAATTGTTTGCTCGACTTTTATGATCAATTGCCATTTCCACCTTTTTACTCGCATTGTCCTATTTTCAGGGAGGCAGTGTATTTCCCTCCCATTCGTTGAGACATTTGTTGTGAATAGTGTGTGTACACTACACCTCCAGGATCCCAGGTCGGCAATAGAGCAGTGAGTGTGTCTAGTGTAGTGACAGCCGGTGTGTGGTGTGTGCAACAAGCCATATCGGGAAGCGCGCGATTGTCCAACACGAACTGACAAGGTGGTGTCAAATTGTAGATACCTATGCAATGCGATGCGCTGCGCTACGCTGCTGTTGTGTCAGCTGCTGCTGCACATGTATTCTAACGGATAGATGAATCCCCATAATCATGAAATCCAATTGCGCAGTTTTGTTTTCTCACGTCATCGAAAAGACCCCTTTTTAGAAATTGGGCGATTTTGCAGAGAGAAAAACACCAAAAAAAAAGGAAGGAAAAAGGCCTGGGCTCTCTTTCTGGGGATTCTCAGGGAGTACGCTAGTGGATCGATCACGAGGGAGTGGACCATATTCTCCACAGTTTAATGTCCCTTGGCGGGAGTCGGGGTCCAATTCAAGCCGATCAGTGTCACTCCCTTGTCCCATGGAATCGATGTTTCCCCGTTTTATTTCCTGCATCCGATCTTCCCTTTTTTTCTCTTTCACGCAGGCTCCCCCACATTTTGGGATGGTTGACTGACTGTAGAAAGAACTTGTGTGTTGCCCGGGAGCTGTCCAAAAGGTCCAGGTGGAAGAGCTTCCCTTGGTGGAGGAGGAGGAGGGTTGGCATCCCATTGTTTGGAAGCGAGCGAAGGTCCCAGAAACTGGCTGGAATTCGACCACATGTTTCTCCAACTTCCAGATCGAGAAAGTGATGGCCCAGCTTCCCTTTGAAAGAAATCCTTGATCAAGGTTTCCTTCTCGTCCCTCTTTTTGCATTTTGCCTCCTTTCCTCTTTCCTTTCTCCTCTGTGGTCGACTCTCTCGTTTCACCCATTCACCAACCATCGTTACGTGACCGGTCATAACGGAAACAAAAACTAAACACCCTCGCTAACTACAGCCAACATCAACAACCCCGGTACCGAACAAGCCGAGAGAACGACGACCATCAATCGGGCAGTTACTTGGGACTGAAGAACTGCACTCACAACGAAGTGAGTTTGTTCACCACCGTACATACAACCCCGCGCCAGCACAGCCTTTCTTGAAGCCAACCACCACCTGCGCTGCTCTATTCCTTTCCCCACGAAGGATTCGCTGCGAGTGCGTGCCCCATTGCATCCGACTAGGGGATCGACTAGGCAAAAAGCAATTAAACCGACTTTGGCCATCTTAGCCGGTTAGTACGGGGAAACCCCTATAGGCGATTCCCCTGCAAGGGCCGTTGTTGGTAAGGTAGGGTCCGCCGTGGGTCACATGGGCTGTTGTGGGCGGTGGTGGTCCCTTGGTTAATCTCAATATTTTACGATACGACTCCCCACGTCAGTCCACTCTCACTGTCAACATTCCATTGTCCGTCCTCCTTGTCGATTCGTTAGACGGGGGCAACATCATCACTTTCGTTTGTTTCTTTCGAAAACAACATTACACAAAACAAAAGTCAAAATGCGTTCAACAACGGTTTTGACTTTGGGCGCTGCTACTGCCCTGCTCGGCGCAGGCAACGTCCTCGCCGATGATATCCCTACCTGCTCATTGGACAAGAAGTGTCCAGAGTCGGCACCTTGCTGTTCTCGTAAGTCTTTTGTTTTTTTTTCTTCACTCTTCAGTTGGCACCACCACCACCACATCTGCCATTTTGACATATCAACACAATGCACGACGGCAGCTCACTAACGCATCTATCCGCGCCACCGCAGAATACGGCCAATGCGGCGTCGGCGCCTACTGCCTCGGCGGGTGCGACCCGCGCATGTCCTTCTCTCTAGACTCATGCGTGCCCGCCCCCGTCTGCCAAGACAAGACATACAAGATGGACAAAGCCTCCATGTCCAAGATTGTCGACATCAGCGAGTACCTCGGCGACCCCTCCAAGGCCGACTGGGTCTCCCAGGGTGAACCCCTTTCGTACAACGACAACACGCTGCTCACCATGCCCAAGAACTCGGTCGGCACCGTCCTGGCTTCCACCACGTACATGTGGTACGGCTCCGTCAAGGCGCGGCTCAAGACGTCGCGCGGCCGCGGAGTCGTGACGGCCTTCATCCTCATGTCGGACGTCAAAGACGAAATCGACTACGAGTTCGTCGGCTCCGAGCTCACCACCGCCCAAACCAACTACTACTTCCAGGGCATCCCGACGTACGCCAACAGCGGCAACATCAGCGTGACGGACACGTACTCCAACTGGCATGAGTACGAAATCCGCTGGACGCCCGACCAGATCCAGTGGCTCGTCGACGGCCAAGTCGGCCGCACCAAGCTTAAGTCGGAAACGTGGAACGCCACAGCCAACCAGTGGGACTTCCCGCAGACTCCCTCGCGGGTGCAATTGTCCATTTGGCCCGGCGGCGCGGCGTCCAACGCGCAGGGCACCATCGACTGGGCGGGCGGTGCTATTCAGTGGGACTCGGAAGACATCAAGAACTACGGGTACTACTTTGCTACGTTTGGAGAAATCACAGTGCAGTGCTACGACGCCAAGAGTCCACCGGGGACGAACAAGGGCACGTCGTATTACTATAATAGCTACAGGGCGACCAACGATACGGTGGTGGATAGCGATAAGCCTACCGTGCTGGCGTCGTTCCAGGGGACCGGCACGGATATGGATGCTGGTAAGCCGAGTGGGACCAAGGGCGGATCGGCGAGCGCGACCAAGGCTGGTGGAAGCAAGGGGACGTCGGCGCCGAATTCGATTCCGGGGGCGGGAGCGGCGCCTAATCAGGTGCCGGGGGGAGGGTCGGGGAGTGTCTCTGGAGGATCTGGATCGTCGTCGTCCGGCAGTGACGGTGGAAGTTCGGCGGGTAGTGACAGTGGGAGCGGCGCGAGCAGTGGTTCGAATGCGTGTGGAATGAATGGGTTTTCGCAGAGTTGTGATGATGGAAGTGAAAGTGGAAACGGCGGTTCGTCCACTAAGAATAATGGTGTCAAGACGAGGGATGCGCATGGGGCGAGCGCGTTGGCTGCTGTGGTGGGGATTGTTGGGTTGATGGTTCTTTAAAGATGTCTTTATGAAGGGGTGTAAGAGTGAAAGGAAGAGAGAGAGAGAGAGATTTGATTTGATCAGTGAAGATTGGACAGGACAGGACAGGACAGGACAGGACAGGACAGTAATGGTAATGTTGTTAATGGGTAAATTGATGTCTTATCTTGGGCTTGTCCTTCAGCGGTGGTTCCCTTCCTTTTCGGGGAGTGGTCTGCGTATTCATGGTTGTGGTTTGGGGTTTTTTTTTTTTGTTAATCCCATTATTGGTGTTTCTGGGTCCTTTCTTGACTCTTGAGGGTGGGTATCGATTGACTGCGTTCTACCTAACACCATATATGGTTTGGATCATGTATAGATGCTAGGGATAAGAAAGGGGGTGCGGTATGTGGCATGTGGTATAAGGGGAGGCATTAATGGATTTTCTTGTCGTGTATGCGCGTAGGCTTTTCAAGTTGGCTAATACCAGGCGGGCCATCATTTATCTTTATTGTGACTGTGACAATACTCTTTAGACAGGGAGGGAGGAAGGGTCATAAGGCTGTCTGTCGGGTCCCCACAGTCAATGGGCATATTGTTGAGTTCCTCGTGATTTGTCGAATTTTCAGGTGAACTTGCCATCTGGCCAGGTCTGGGAGATATCGTAACGCTCTATTGCCACTATTTTGTTTACTTTGCGATCGCCTCGTCTTGGGCTTGGCGCTTGGACGTGCTGTTGCAGAGATAGATAGATAAAGATGCAGTCAGTCTGGTGGAGGAGATAACCTGAAGGGCCTTTTGTTCTGTCCTTGTGAAACTTTTTCACCATTCGTGTGGAAATTGCGGTCTGAATGGATTTTGTGAACCTGCCCCCTGGTCATAGGTGTGTCGACGTGAACTTTTTGGTGTTTCGTCGCGCTTTGTCTTCACGATGGTATGGATGGTTGTCATGAAGTTGAAGACGGGAGGGAAGACGCCCGGTGGAGCGTTACTACAGGGGCACAACAGGCAGCACTGTTAATGGCTGCAGTGAGTGAGTGCCTGTTTCATCCTTGCGGCGTGCAGCTGTTAGCGTCCCCCGGCCGGATACTGTACTGCAATTGATGTTGACGTGCAGCGATGATGTGAGTGAGGTCTTGTCGATCACAGGAATCCACTAACATCTTGTCAGTACCTCCACTCTTGACTTCATCTTCGTTCTTTCCTAGAATCACTTGGCCATGTTGAATGTGGAAGGCACGATGACTCTTTGATGTGCAGTGTATGTACCTACTTCAACTTCTCCCCAAAGAGGCGAGGTCTCTTCAATATTTCCTCGCCGTCACCCTCATCAAATGAACCGACTTCTCTCCATCATTTTACCGCTCTTTTATTCTGTTAGCATGTCAACACCATCAGCGGCGGCAATCTGGTTACCGCATACGGCAGAAAGGGACCCAAGATAGCTTCCAGATTTGTCGAATGAACAACCGCCCTGGTCCCGATTTGCCTGTTGGCCAGGCTCGACCACTCCCACGGGTCTCAGGAACGGGCCTGGCAGTGCCTGGGAAACCGGTAAAGAAGAGTTTTCCGCCATCTGACAACTCCTTATCACCGTCCATGGTGATTGATGTGAGTCTATAACTCTCCAATGGTTTCATGCCCCCGTTTTGGCCCCCATGGTGGTGGAAGGGCATTGTCCACCCTACCAACGGCTTGGACAGCCATGGGTGCGTATTGTGACGAACCGTTACGAGCACAAGAACATATCGCTGGGATAGAACAACGGCGGCAGTAGCCAAAAGGTACTGATCGATTGTTGAAGCTATTGCGGACCCGATATACCGGACCCGAGGATCGAAGCTCTCGGGTCCTCTCGATATTACGCACACGGGGACCCGAAGGCCCGATGGCTTCGGGTCCCCCTTGATTGGCTAGTCTAGCTTACATCAGGATCGTCACACGTATCTTCTCGTCCGGGACTTTTGTCGAGAGGAATCAACAAGTCATGAAAGCTCGGCTAACTGTCAATTTGTCTTCAGCCTGTCCCGTCCTACCTCTAGCGCGTGCGAAGATCAGGCAATGGATCAACACGGGCTAGTATCTACTTCCCTTCCTGTGTCCGGGCATCACGAACACCAAGGCTGACTACGCGACGAGACCGGTGTGGTGACAGCTTCTTGGTATGCCCAGAACCATCTCCAGTCCTATATTGTTCCCGTGCCACCATACAGGTCCCGTCTTGGTTTCTTCGAGTCGCGAACACGTTCCACCCGAGGCCCCGAGGCGTTCAAGGCTGAGCAGAGCAAACACGGTACGGGGAGCACATCAACAGATTCGCAGCTCTTGAGCGACAGCCCCCGCCGCACATACAACCAGTCGGCTTACACTTCCAACCGGAGACCTTCCGCGAAACCAGTAATGGTGTTATGGCTTGTCTTCCCGCGTGCACTGTTTCTTGCAACAGCCGTGTGGCGCCTGGCCCATGACCAGTCCCCCTGCCGGAAGTAACTCCGCAATAAGGCAGCCATCACAGTGGGAATGACTTGGATGCCTTTTTTACACTTGTTCCGAATGTTACACCACTCACCAGCGCTTCCCAGGTCTCTGGGAATATTCAACACTTGGGTTCATGCTACGACCAATCTCGTTCGCTGGACATGCCAATTGTCCTCATCAAGAACGGCCAAGGGACTCGCGGAAGCAGAGTGCCATGTCCCCGGCGTGTTGCGGCGGGAGATCCGACACACCTTTTGCGTGCGGCTCGGCTTTCAGATGTTGGATGGTTTTCCGGAAAGTTTATGCCCACATACCCGGTGCAATGCAACACTTTTGTTCCCAATTATCTGTGTTTCTAATCCATCATCCAGATTAATCCGAGATATTGGCGATACGGGCGCTACACCTCATACCGGCTTCGCATCCGAGTGCACCATCGACGCCTTCAACATTCCCGGAACCATCACACCGGGTCAGGACTTGACGCTTAGCTGATCTGTGGAATCACTGGGAAGAGGACCACGAACATCAAACCCAAATCCTCCACGTGCTAGTGCAGCCGCCCTCGTGGAGAGGTAGCACAGCACACCGGTTCGTGACCCTTCTCACCATAGTGCTGAGCTGAATCTCCCTCAAAGTAGCCACTCGACGTCTTGGACGTTTCAAGCCTTATCTATCCTGGACCCACTGCAAGTCTGACGGAACTAGTTCATGGAAACAAGTCCCGGTGCTCTATCATGACAATGTACTAGTGTACCTCGATATTGCAGGGTCCTGATGGTACCTGGTCAGCCTCGCCTCTCTTTTCTGCCAGTCAACATGTAAGCGCATCTACACACATACCCATTGAAGATCCTCATACCTCGGAGCGCTGCCGATGCATCTGGCGGTCTAGGGCTGATGCTGTTCCCGTGTTTTCCACGGTTCATCGTCAGGGCGAGAGAAACTTTTCGTCTGTTGACTTCAACGTGGTGTCGAGCGGCTCTATTTTTCTATCAACGGGGAGTGACCTGTTCAGGTATATAACCACTCACCTGCTCCCCTCCGTCCGTCGTCACGCGTTCCACAGGCATTCAAGAGGTCCTCAGTATAAAAGGGCTTCGGGAGCTTGCTGTTCTATTTTTGGGCTCCCGCCAGACCATTTTCAATCTTACACCAAGTCTTTTCACAATGTCAAACCTTTTCCAGAGACCGTCCAAGTTGGACAAACACCGGGACACCATCTATCGCTTGTACATCACGGAAAACAAAACCCTATCGCAAGTTATTGACATTATGAAACGCGACCATAACTTGCTGGCTTCGTACGTTACATTTCCTTTCCATCCATGTCAGGCCGATAGCTAACATGTGATGGCCACACAGGGACAAAAAATACAAGCGTTACTTCAAGATCTGGGGATTCGAGAAAAACTACAAGACCAGTGAAATGATATCCATGCTCAAGATGCAACAAAAGCGGCTCAGGGAAGGAAAGAAAACAATATTCTGCAACGAGAATGGCCAGAAGATACCCAAGAGCAAATTCACGCGGTTCAAGAACCGTCACACCATCAGGGAATTTACGGATGAAGAGTTACAAGAAGGTACGGTGGTACTTCCCATCTTCCGTTTGGGGCCATCGCTTATGCTTGGTAGTCGAAATCCCGAGAGGCATTACCTACAAAACACCCGAGCCAGATGACACCAAAAGGCGGTTGAAGAATCGTTCCAGCACCAATAGAACTGGCGAGAGAACAGGCATGGGGGTAGAGGAACCTCAAGTCATCACCCAATCATCTCGGTCGGACCGCAGGGACAACATACGTCGAGAAGATTATCAACTACCCGCAAGGCCAGGCTCGTCATTGTCTATGTCCTATCCGAACTGGAGGCAGTGTCGGGATACCGGTTTTATCCCAACTAATGCCTCTCCTGCGCCTTCGGCGTACTCCTTGAACACTACAATAGGTGCTCCCACTGCTCCAATGGCGGCCTACACGTCGAGGCAACATGGCCAGATTGAGACGAACTTCTCCCCATACTCGACGGCCATCAGCGACCCAGGTGAATATCAGTCATCTGCAAGTTTAAGACAGGGCTCAGTGTCATCTATGCCGCCCCTTGACTTGAACGACAACCAGGCTGGGCTTTTTACCAGTACCGTTCCTTCTCCCGCTCTTCTTGCATACATGTTAAACACTACTCTTGGCTGTCGGATTTCTCCAGTGGCAGCTTACACATCAACTGAGCAGCGTTCAGCGTATGCGCTGGATTCCTTAACACAGTTTTCAGGTGCCCACACCGCGGGTTTTGTTGACTTATCCGCGAGCGCAAGGCTGGGATCATTGTCATACAATAACTATCAAGGGAGTCATGATGGGCCTTCCCGTGGTATTCTCAGCTCTCGCGCACCCTCGGCTTCATACCTAAACAACAACACCTGCGACCTTGATGCTTCATCCGTTTATCCCTTTAACAACACAATCACTGCCCCTGTTCCCCTCTCCTCTCCATGGAACGGCCAAGGGCCGTTTTCAACCAATGATCCCATCTCGCCGGGTCTACAGCTCATTGGTTCCGGTCCCTCTTCGACATACGCCCAGGTGGAGGCATTTCCCGTCGGTCCTAGACACGATAACCATACTGGTGACTATGGCGAATATGACGATATACCAACGAACACTGTGAACAGCACGTACTCTCCTGTTTTGCAGTCATACCTTGGTGAGACTGAGGAGTATCCGTCCTGCAATTCCAACAATTACTACACTGGCCGGATATCAGGGCGGCAATGTTGTGGATGAAAATCTGGACGTTGGATCTCAATCCCATTGAGGAAAAATTTGGTTCTGGTAATGGCGAGTAATGAGGGGATGAGTGAAACGTTACTCGCAACAGAGCAGAAAAACAGGATAGCAACGCCTTAGATTGAACTTTCTTTGGCCTCTCAGTCTTTGGAGGTTCGGCGGCGCCTTTAGACCAAGGGATTATTTCACATTGTCTCGTTCGTCGAGGAAGAAAAGCTTCCCCGGCCTGCTGGATAATGCAGCGTACCTACCTATAAACGAGGCAAGCCTTAAGCAGCCGGAACATACCCATTCCAAGCTGTATATTAGACATACTTGTAGATATATCTATCAAGCCTCGCTAGAGTTTGTAAGCCAATCACATATGCGCCGTTTTGTGACCGATGTTATTTTCTTAATAGAGAGGAGGGGCCAAGAGGAAGAGATAATTGTCTAGAAATGGACGATGTCGTGTGGCTAGGTATCTATCTTAGGAATGCCCGACTGAGGCTTTTGTTTTTCTAAGTGTACTTTATTCAGAAGGGAGGGAGGCCAGTAACATGAAGACGGGAGGTTCAGCAACATGAGGTTGATCTGGAGTACGTATCATGGGAACATAGAGGACATGGAGGACATGTCTGATATCGTTTTGATAGAGAAGAAGAACAGATCCGGAGTCAAAGAATGACTTCCAATCGGTTGTATATACTCAAGTGTTGAAGCCTTCAAAGTTGAGTGTTGAAGTTGAAGTTGAAGTTGAGGTTGACGATGCGACATTGTTAAGGTTTGGTGTTGCACAGTAGGCTTTGGCGGAGGTTGCACTAACGGCTCAGAGGCTCAGACGGCCCCGCATTTTCAAGGCCGATGGCACCGTGGCCCAAGCTTCCTTTCAGCGAGCTGAGCGGGTCCATTCCTACCATTGGACTAGACCAGACCATCGAGGTCCCGTCTCCAGGATCTCAAAACATTCCAGTTGCTGGCTTCCTATCACTGTCGGCCTTCCAGATTCCATCCCCATCGTTCAAATTGTCTTGTCTTATTCTTACCATAGAGGGTGTCTCCTTAAACTGGTTTTTTTTTTGCGACGCCAGCCTAGTACCGCACTCAGCTACTAAGAACCCATCTACCTATGTACCGCTTCTACTGAACTATGGTAGTGTAGCGCGCGCCCACTTCCGTCCATCCATCGAATAGAACAGTATCGCAACGCGACACCACTACCTTACTAAGTAAGGCGCATCCAGACCGCAAACAATCTTTCATATCTTTCTACCTCCCCGAAGAGCAGGCAGTACAGCGATCTAGCCTTACGAGACGACGGTCGATTTCTTTCCCCCTTGGGCCGACTACAATAAAACCTCCACCACCCCCACTGCCCTCACTCAAGCATCCAAGGAACCAACAAACAAACCACCCATTCAACACAATCCACCATCACAATGAGCGGCTCCGGAGGAGGCACCGGAGGGAAATTCAACCCCAAATCCCTCCTCTACGACCGCTCCGCCACGCTTCCTCCCTTTCTCGCTCGGTTACACGCCCAACACGCCCCCGGCAATTATGACGGTCCCGATCCGATCCTGGCAGCGCGGAGACGACCGACGAAGAGACCGAGAAGTGGCAGTGAAGAAGCGGAGGATGCGCCGCTTGTTCTTGACGAGCAAGGGAATGTGGTTGATGGAGTTAGTGTGGGGGTGGATGGTGTGGTCACGGAGAGGTTTAGGGTAGAAGGGGAGGGGGAGGGGGACAACAACACAGGGGAGGGGACCAAGGAGGGGGAAGGAAAACAAGGAGGGAAAGAGGGGGACAAAAACGAAAATGGGGATGGAAACAAAGATGGGAAAGAAGATAAAAGCGTAGGGATAGGAGCGAGTAAGAAGAAGAGAAAGGTAGGGAAGGTTATTGCTGGTGATGGTGATGATGATTCGGAGCAAGAGCAAGAGCAAGAGCAAGATGGGGATGATAGGAAATCATCAGCGGGGAAAATAAAGGACAAGAACAGTGGGAATCCTGAAAAGGCAGGGGAGAAACCAAAGCCCAACAAGACGACTACCAAGAAAAAGACGACGGCCAAGAAAATCAAGCTTAGCTTTGGTGATGGTGATGAGGAGGGTTGAGAAGTAGTTGTTACCGGGCTTGGGCACTGGAAGTATAGAAACGCATAAAAGGGGCATGTCGAGAGGAAGGTGTACATGTCGGCCGGCGCATGTCCTGATAGCAACGGCGCAAGATGCGTGACCTGATCATGAGCTCGCGGATGACGAGGGATGCAAAGTCCAAGTTTGTCTAAGCCGTTATGCCTGGTGTACTACCCGGGAGTTATCCGGAGAACACAATAGTGAGCTATCTTGGATCTCTCGAGTCTTGTGGCTTGGTACCGGAAGGTCGAGTCTAGACGATCATGCGAATGCACTTCGAGCAACCAGTTTTAGTAACATTGGATCGGGACGTGGTGTTGATCCAGAATGAATGTGAATCCAACACCTCTCGAGTTTCTCGATGGTATATACAATTCCATGTTCAGTATTTAGTTGTTGTCCCCAGGGTTTTAGGCAGAAATCTACAGCTCTAGGTTCTCGAATGCAGGTTCAGTCAACCACCTACCCAGCCTCATCATCACCCCCGTGTTCTCCAGGTTCGCAATCACAGTGCTTGCCTCCCAGTAAACTTGTCATATGCATGCATCGTATTTGTCAATGTCTTCTTCTATTAACAACCCACTACACAAAACCTCAAACCTCCCTTGGCAAACCCAACACAACTGGGTAATTTACCAGTACTCGGGCTTGACGTAGTCGGCAAAGGTCTTGGGCTCCTCGAAGCCGTGGTGGTCGTGGCCGTGGTCGTGGGCGTGGTCGTCCTGGGGACCGACGTAGTCCATCTTGTAGACGTTGCCGCACTCGGGGCAGCGCTCGACGGGACGCTCGCGGGTCATCTATCTTCTTGGTTAGAATACTCAACTGAGCGGTAAAGGAGAGAAAGAAAAGAAAAAAAAAGAAAGAAAGAAAAAACTCACGGTGAGCCAGATGACGTTGTGGGAGTCGGCAGGGAAGCCAGTGCAACCGGCGTACTGCTCATCACCGGCGGAGCGGACGGAGATGGGGTTCTCCATGGTGCCTGTTTTTTTCACTGTCAATCCCCCAGCTCCTCTCTCAACCCAGGTTATTACGGCGAGTCTTACCCCTGCGGGAGGCATCAAGGGGCTTCATGTCGAAAACGTCGACGCCCTCCATCTTGCCGAGAATTTCGAGACGCTCGAGACCGGTGGCCTGCTCGAGATCGGTGGGGACAGTGCCGGGGGCGGCACCGGGGCCGAAGAGGTCATCCTTGGTCTTGATCTCTGTTTGTCGCGAAAGGTTTATAAGTCAGTCATGTATGTTTTTTTCGTCGTAGGCGGTTTCGTCCGTCATCCCGCACCGTCATGGAGCGAGGGGAGGCTATAGGGAGCTGGGCTGAACTGAGCTACCCGGCCGGTGGAAGCTGTGGTAAGGGGAAAGCCTCGAGCTTGAGCTGGTCGATGAGCTTCTTCTCCGATTCGTCCGCGCAATGATAATAACCCCCTCCTTTTTGCGGTCGTTCAATGCTTTCCTCCTCCTTCTTGTTGTTTCATCAAGCTCCCCCAAGCTTGACCAAGCTCAGCTCGAGCTTCGAAAGACCCACCACAGCTTCCAATTCGCGTAGCCCAGTTCCCTAGCAGTCCCAATAGACACAATGGTGACGCAATCGCCGGCGAGGGGAAATCATCATACCGGAGAGACGCTTGATGTGGGGGACAGGCTTGGTCTCGGCGTTGCCTGGAATCAAGATAAAAACATGGTGTCAGTGTTTCGATCGGGATTCGGGATTTGGAATTGATGCGCGTTTGGTTGTCGCGAATTGGTTCGTGGTGGTGGTGGGGTTATGATGTCGTCGTCGGTGGTGGTGGTGATGATGCTTATGCGCGGATATTTGCAGCTTCGCGATTGGAGCTTTTTTGGATGCCGTGCTTTTTTTCAGGCCGCAGCCGCTAAAACCAAGAGACGTCCAATGTTCACTTACAGCGCACAACGGTGGTGGCGATGCTGCGACGGAGAGCGGGGGCAGCGGTGGCCCGGCGGGCGACGGCGACGGCGGTGCGGGACAGGAGCATGTTGGCGACGGCGGCGGGTGGGTGGTGGATGGTGTGATGTCGGAGTGACAGAATTGACCGGGAGAGAGCGGAGAGGCGGGAGATGATGTTTTGTCGCTGTCTGTCCGAATCCGAAGCTGGTTTGCCCACACTGGGTCCCACAGCTGAGCTGGGCACTGTAGTGGACAGAGGCCCCGACCGTGCTGCCCTTCCCTTCTGCCGCTGGCAACTGGCGAACGGGCGGTTTATTGACAAAGGCGCTTGGACCACATTCTGGAAAGCTTCCCCAGCTGGTTGCCAGAAGCAGCTAGTGCACGGTCAGGTGACGCTGCACGTGGGATCTTCTATGTCATCAGGACCATGAAGTAAAGCGACAATTGCGTGATGAACACATGACAGGAGAGTTGTGAAGCAATGATAGGTTTCAATTGACCTAAATACGGCACAGATCATATAATGATTGAGCTAACCAGGAGCTGTAGAAGGTCTTGATGGAGCTATCGCTGGTTTGACAGGCATGACCCTAACCCTCCAAGCCCCAGTCACACATCGGCAATGCTCCACCCCGCGAAACGGGACTCGGGCTTTCCAGCTTCAAACTACCGGGCCCAATCCGGCTTCCGTGTCCGATAGTGGATCCCCGGATCGGCGCCTTTTGCATGTCGGAGCGGCACCATGCCGGAAGTGTGCAAGTCATCTTGTCCAACTAACTCACTAACAGAAACACAACACAACGAAAGATTCACAGCTTCTTCACCACAGCCGGCAACCGCCACCGACCTTTCATCTACTCAATCACCCATCCCTGTCGCAACCCGAGAAGGAGGAGCAGAAGCCGAGGTGAAATTCGAATTTGTAGGGGGTAGGTGGTGGTTGTGATGGGGTTGGACTCTGAAAGGGATTAATGTTTGGGAGTGAAATATCGCATATGAGAATCGGGTTCGGAGTTTGGGATGTCTGGGGTCTTACACAGCACTCGTATTTGACCTTGTTCAGCATGGAGGCTCAAGACAAGGAAACACACACGACGTCTTGTTAAGCACATAATCACGCCCTGCAGCTACGTACTTCCTCTCTCTGCCTCCCAACCACCAAGTAAGATTCTTACCTACATGATACCTACCATCTCCTAGTGGCGGAAAATTTCCACCTACCGAAGACTATCCCAAAACCCCAGAGTCCTGTCCCATGGTTCTCGCCCTCATTGAGGCACAGACGATGCACCCCGTTTTTTGCTTCCCCTTTTGAAAGCTGAGCAACTGAGATATGCGGGGGTCCCGTCATACAGGTACTGTGGTTCGCTCCAGTCGAGCGGTTTCCAGGATCTTGGATGTCACTCACGTGGTCAATACTGACACCGGTGATGGTGCTGGATGGCTTGCATGCCCCTGACTGGATGAGGATGAGGAGAATACCTATCGAGACATGATGCGAGATGGAATGGTGAGACACGGGCTTGAGTCTTTGAATATTCCACGAACCATACCTACCTCTGTTCTAGCCCCCCGACCATGGAATTGGGCTCCTGCTTTGTCTTTAGGCATACATTCTGGATGCTACCCAATAAACCAAGGCTGATCACTCTGGGGTAATCTGAGTAGATCTCCTCGGGCGGAGCTGGTTCCGCGGCTGGGGCGCAGATGGGTCGAGAAATCTCCGTCTGTCCGAGGACTTGCTTCTGAACGGCTTTTCGTTTGGATGATTGTGTCAATGGCAAGACTACCGCCGTCTAGGTACTTGTTCGTGCAACCGAGTGTCGAGAAAGGGGCCCCAGGATCGACATCTGAAAAATGGCTGCATGGCGCTGGAGCTAATCCCCGGACTTCTAGGGCGACAGGGTTACTGCAAGAGGAAAGAATTGAACTTTAAAAGGCTGAGCAATCTCTGCAGCTGGTGTCCTCACTGACTGGAAATGGTCAGTCACATTGAAGACCGAACACCAATGAGAGTGATGAATGATGGCCATCCTACCAATTTGGGCACCGAGGGAAGGAGCAATCAGCCAATGTTGCGGGGCCGCGTGATCAAGGTTTGGGTCGATACTCCCTCATCTTCATCTATCCGAAGAAGGTGCAAACCCAGGAGAGGGTTATGTCATACCTGGAGCTTTTGGTAGTACAATGTGTTGTATAGGGCGACATGATGAACGACCTTCGAACAACCTCAGGAGGGCAAGAAGGAGTCTTGGCACTTGGCAGATGGGTAGGACACAAGTTCTTCAAGGACCTGGAAACCATCGCCAGAACTGGAGAGGTGAAACCCCAGACAGCCGAAAGCGCATGTCCTCGGAAGACAAATAACTTGAAGTAAACTGGTTTGGTCAGGAAGGTACACTACATACTTTTACCCCAGACTCTTGGGTGGCATCGACCGCAACTCTTCCAGCATGTAACATTCATTGTCTAGAACCCGTGGCACCTGCCTGTCTGCCTGCATCACACTTTTGCTGACTGTACAAGCCCAGGTCATTGTCCTTGCCCTTCTGACCAACGGCGACAACCGACAGCAACGAACTGCAGCCAGTCGCCCAAACAACCAAACTCCCTCTCTCAAATTTTCCTCTCCCGTCGACTCAGCCCCGTCCCGTTGTCCCCTTTCCGACAGCTTTTATACGCACCAATCAGACGCCATTCGGTACTGTCCGCCTCCTGCGCAGATATCTTTTTGTTTCCGTGTCGGCTCTAGCCCGTCATTCGTTTTGATGCCTCTAACCATTCAGCTTGCGACCACTAGCTTCCCAGATGGTAGCCGACCACCCAAAAAATTGCACCGCTTCCTGCACCCCGGCTCTTCCCACAGCTTTTTCCCATCGTGCCGGTGCCCATGTCGTGCTACCATGTCGTTCGTGTCTCTTCCAATTGCTAGCAAGGTAGTAGCTAGGGCTGTTGGTCTGTTAATTAATTGCTAGCTTCACCGCCCTAGAGATTAACAATTGATGAGATCAAGATCCTCCATTGAGGTTCCTTTGGTCTTCACAACCATCAATTCCTGATTCAGGCTTTGTGGAATCTGGTCTTTCCATCCTGCTGGGTCAGCTCATGCCCCCCTCCCTTTCCTACGCTGTCTCACCTGATCGCCTCATCCGAGTGCTACCCCTCTCTCACCAAGGGGAAGAAAGTTTAACCTTGTTACCTTTTTCTATTTTGTCCTGCTGGCCAGCCTGCTATAGCTACACAACAAACATACGAAGCTTTCCCATCACCTGAGCCCTCGGGAGATCCAATCACCTTTTGAACTCGACCATTTTTTTTGCGACTTGCGACTTGCAAGGTTTTGGTCAAATCAAATGAACCTTTGAGCTTTTCTTCTTCCCTTGCCCCCTTCTCAATTTTTTTAAAGACGCCACTTGCGCATTTCTTACCTACCCTGTACCCTACCGTCCGTACACTACTGCGACTGAACATTGGACAGAAACCGGAACTTGTGTCATTTATCTACCTTCAATCGTTCCAGCCCTGTCAGCTTTTGTTTTCGCCTCAACAAGGGAACGTATACATACCTAGCCAACCCCATCGGACCTTTCCGAGAACTGGCACACACACATACACCACCACCACCATCATATCATCTCTTAGAAGCTTTTCATTGTTTCACACGCCGAACTTTGACCTTTTCCCACCGACAGATCATCTGGCTTCCTAAACTGGACAGAAAACTTTTCTCCTCACCCACACTCACTGTCTTTGATCCGAATTATTGCCCAGTCAAGTTTTATGGTGATGAAGCTTCCTCCTCCATACCCGACATTTCTACCATCCGAATACCTGAACACCCGAAACCCAACGACGACCACTGTTACTCCTACAAAACCAAAACCGTGAACGACTGAAACAAGGCAACCAAAATTCAACATGGAGCATTAACGGATCAATCAACCTGTTATTACGCGTGGAAGTAGTGAAGGTCAGGCTGCGTGCGGTTTGTTGCTGGTTGCGCAATTGGGACAATACAGAGCAGAGTCTCGTTTCCAGGATCTCAATCAGTCTCGCGAAGACTTCCAGTTTGTGTGACTCGCGAATCAGAGCAGAAGTGAAGGCCAAGGGAAGGGGATCGGACTTTCTTTTCTTCAACATTCCACGCCAATCAATGCAATGGGAATCCAAATCGTCGAGTCCTCGCTAGAACCGCCTCGATCGTCTTTCGCGCAGCGGCAGCAGCAGCAGCAGCAACAATACGGACCATGGCACTACCGCGATGTGCGCTCAAGCAGCCGCCGTTATGGCTGGGGTGAAGGACCGGCGGCGGCGGCGGCGGCGGCCCTCATCTCGAATGCATTTTCCGAGAAGAAGAGGTTTGCTGGGGCCGCGGAGGTGGGGAGCAGCAAGGGCAGCAGCAGCAGCAAGATGGCGGCGGCGTGTCTTTCACTTCCTGCTCTTGTCGTCGAACAGGCCCAGGAAGAGCAACCGGGAACAAGCAGTGCCGTATCAACAGAAGTTCTCCCAGTTCAAGCTTCAGAACCAGCACCAGCACCTGCGACAGCAACAACCTCATCATGGCCATCATTCACCATCCTAATACCTTCTCCCTCTACTTCCCCAATCATCACATTCCCACTTGCTCCCATCAACCCGCCACATCTATCGCATCTTGAGGCACATGTCCTTGCCAGACCCAAAAGCCTCAAACGTTCTCGTCCCTGCACAGACGTAGACGGCCACAACACCGCCCCGCTCCCGTGCAAGAAGCGACGTTTGCGGCTAAACTTCGTCACCTCCCGTCTGTCCCATCCCTTTTCGTTACCCGCTACGCACATCCTTAACCGGGAATCGATCCTCAAGGGAGATAAGAGGCTACGAAGTATAGCGGCGGCAGCGAATAGGAGGATGGCCATGGCTGGATGGGGGTTTGGAGGAGTTGGGGGGCAAAATGGGGGTGGCGGGGGAATGGCGATGGCGATGGGAGGGAATGGGAGTGCGGCATCGTGGTTGAGGAAGATGGCTGTCATGAATCGGTTTAGGATGAGGATGATGGGGGAGGGTTTGGTGAGGGCTCAGCAGGCACAGGCTGTACAGGCACAGGCTGATGAAGTTGGGCAAGGGAGAGGAGGAGGAGGTCCGCCAGCGGTAGCGGGACATGTTGGGGTTGGGGGGACTACCGGAGGAGTACCTATGAAACGAACAGCGCAAGGACATCATGGCTACGGACCCGGAACAAGTCAACAGCCTCCTCCACCCAGGGGCAGTCAAGCTGGTGGGCAACAAGTGCCGGTTCCAGTAATAACAGGGTTTCCCCCGCCGGTGATACACACCACCATCTCCAACTTAGGACCATCAACATCAGCACCATCAACACCACAACGCCTCTCTCCCTCTCCGCCCCTTCACCCACTTCACTCACCAGATCTTCGGCCCACAGACGACCAAGACGATCAAGATTTTGACGACGAAGATGTTGCCTTTCCTACATCAGCGCACGAAAGTCGATATGAAGGCGAAGATGAGGAAGAAGGGCATGAAGTGTATGCGGATTTTGGGGTGTTATTCGGCGGCGGCAGTGAGGAAGATCTCGACGAGGAGGGTAATAGCATGTCTGGCGAGATGAATGGGGAGCAGCAGGAGTGTTTGGGTTTGGACAATTGGGATGGGATTTCTTGGGGGGCTGCGTAGGTCTAACTAGGTGGTGAGCTGGTATGGGTGAGGAGGTTATGGATGGGACGGGGTTGCGGACTGGGCGGCATTGTCATGTTATTTACTACCGCATCACTAAAAATTGGGTGTATCTATCTGCTTTGGGCTTGGGGAGGACATTGTGCTTTTCAGAGCAAGCTTTGCATGTGAGCGGTTACATAAAACAAAACAGAAGAAAGAACATAGGTGGCATTCTTCAGTGATTTGTTTACTTCCAGTTAACGCACCAGGCCAAGGGACCGCCATTGTTGCTGTTGTTCTTTGTCTGGGTTCCTTCCGAAGTTGATTTTCTTCACCCGGCACGTCTACATACTTGGGGAAGATACGCGATCGCGCCCGGGCGGTTACTTCCTTGTGGCGAACATTGTTGTTGTTGGGGGCTCGCGACTCGCCTCCGCCTTGGACAGCAGCAGCTCGCGCGGCTCCGGCCGATGATGTTGATAACGAATAGATGGACTTGGCGAGGGAAGCCGATAACGGACAAGTCCAGGAGAACCTCATGGTGAATATGCTTCGCTTGGAGAAGTCGACAGGAAAGCGATTGATTTCGTGGTGTTTCAGACGTCGCGAATACCGACGGATGTGGCGGGATTGAACTTCGGAGTCGATGGATGGAAGTGAAGCGCAAGGTTACGGGACGATCCGGGCGACTCACCGGGATTCACGGAGGTTCCCCTGAAATATACTGTATGCAGTACAGGGACCCGAGGTTCGGTCCAGTGAGCCGGTACCCCACTGTAGGGAGCTGCCGTGCCCCTGCCGAGCTACAGTATGTTGTGTACCCCACAGCGTATGCGTGGACGTCATGGCAGACGGGATCTACCCCACCTTGGTCTACTGGCTGTCGCTGCTGATACATACAACTTACAAGTGATAAGGGACAACTCCCCATCTAACATCCAGTCTACAGTCTCGTCTCCTACTCTTTATCTCTCTCTCGTCTTCTCCAACTATACCACCACCCACCACAACCACCACCACCATGTCCTCCTCCCACACCCACAGCACCCACCTCAACCCCGAAGCAACCCCCTTCCTCCCCGCCATCACCTCCCTCCCCACCCTCCCCGACGCCGCCCTCATCTCCACTCTCGACCTCCTCTTCGAGCCCTCTCCCGACCTACACGCCCTCGCCCTTCCCACCCTGCGCACCATCTCCTTTTCCTCCTACGACGACCTCATCTCCACCCTCCGCGACGAACTGCTCGCCATCGCTGACGCCGTCGCCCTCGCCGCCGCTGATCCTTCCGTCCCGCAGATAGAAAAGGAAAATATCCAGCGGCCGTTGCATGCGATACTGGGTAGTCATCCGCGACTGGGCGAGCCGAAGAAGGAGAAACTGTCGGCGCAGAGTCAAAAGGAGCAGGCGCATTTGAATTCCGGGGGAAAACAAGGGGAGGAAGAAGTGGTGAAGGAGGAGCTGAGGAGGTTGAATAAGGAATATGAGGACAAGTTTCCGGGGTTGAGGTATGTGGTGTGGGTTAATGGGCGGGGGAGGGTGGAGGTGATGGGGGATATGAAGAGGAGGATTGCGAGGGGGGATTTAAGGGCGGAGGAGAGGGAGGGGATTGAGGTGAGTTGCATTTGCTCGTGGTGCTGTATGAATGGCAAGGCTGACTTTACTTCCCAACAGGCAATGTGCGACATTGCGGCCGATCGAGCGGCCAAGCTCCTCAAGTCTGCACAGGAGGCCGTCGAACATGGCAGCGCTTAAGGGAATTGAACACTTCGAACGCAAGGTATACGGAGGTGGGGACTGCGAATGTCATCCAATTGTACGGTTGGTGCCAGACAAGGCAGGAGGATCAAATGCAGGTCGCTTGGGGGGTGACCTGCATGCTGAGAAGGCTGTCACATCTCAGCCACACCCGTCAACCGGCCGGCAACCCGTTTGTTGGACGAATCTTCGAAGACAATGCAACTACACTCTGCTCGAAGGGGACATTGGCTCCTTATCACGGGAATAAATCGGTAAGCACCCGTGTGGAAAGCAATGGAAGGGCATTCTCGAGGACAAAAAGTGCTGTTTGTTATTCACTTGCTAACCCGTGGTTGAAGAACGCCTAGTGTTCTGCCGGCGCCTAATGCATCACCATGAGCTTCGTCATCTCAGCCTCACCCATTGGCCGGCTGTTTGTTATCGAACGAATCATCGACGGCAACAACATGCACGTAGCCCGCGGGATTCAGCATCAGCATACGGATGCTACGTGAGCGACACCAATAGACAAGTTGTTTGCTCGACGGGCCTCTGACATGACTCTGCCGCCTACTGTTACCCCCACCCAAAGCTCCGTGTACTTGACAGTTTATCTTCATAAATACCTCAGCATGTTTCGCGCAAGCAATGATCCCTTTCGTCCTCACCAGTATCTCCTATATCTACTATCACAATCTCACATACTTGACCTCTCACCGGATTCCTCCTTTTTCCAGCCATCTTTGACTCTACCTCCTCTGATCTACACGTCTTGATGAAACTTAAACGCTCTTTGCTCGAGACCACAACAGCAACTCCTTCTACAATGGGTTCTGAGATCAAGCCCCCTGCCTCAGGCATTCTGACCAGCCCTGATCGTCTCCGCAAGATTGATCAGTTGCGTGAGAAGAACATCGATGTCATCTTGCCGTTGCCTACACTGGTTGCGGTCGGTGACCAAAGCTCTGGCAAGTCTTCGTTGCTCGAGAGCGTCACTGGCATTCCGTTCCCTCGCGGCCAGGAACTCTGCACCCGTTATGCAACCCAAATCACCCACCGTCGCGATCCTGAGGTGCAGATAATCATCACCATTATCCCTGCCCCTCAAAGCACTGAGGCGGAAAAGGCCAGTCTCAGGTCTTACCGCAAGGAGCTTTCCTCGACCACCGAGCTCCGTGATCAATTTGCCAAGATTCTTGATGAGGTAGGCGTCCCACCCTTTACTTTACCAGCTCCCGCTAACCGTTATGCAGGTCAATGTTTACATGAAGATCAAGACGGTCAAGAATCCCGATGGGGAAAAGACCTTTTCCAGAGACATCTTGAAGATTGAAAAATGCGGCCCTACCGAGGACTATCTCACCGTCATCGACGTTCCCGGCATCTTCCGCCTGACCTCCAAAGGACAAACAACAGAGAGTGATCGCAACCTTGTTCGAGACATGGTCACCGGCTTTATCAAGGACAAACGGACCATCATCCTCGCCGTCTTACCTGCCAATGTGGATGTGATGACGCAGGAGATTTTGGCTCTGGCCGAACAATACGATCCGGATGGAGAGCGCACCCTCGGTGTCCTCACCAAGCCTGATTTGGTCATTGAGCGCAGCGCCAAGGAGGCTGTTTGCAATCTCGTCGCTGGAAGGAAGAAAGCCCTCAACCTCGGCTACTACCTTGTCAAGAACCGTGGTGGTGACGACAACGATGACTCTAAAGATGACTCGGGTATTCGCCGGAAAGAAAGAGATCTCTTCCAGCAGAGTCCTTGGTGTAACTTGCCGCAAGAGCGCGTGGGAGTTGCAGCACTTCGTGAGAGGCTCCAGGATCTTCTGGGTGAGATCACGGACAAGGCGTATCCTGAACTTCGCTCGGAAGCGCGCAAGAAGCTCGCCGAGGCTCGGGAACAACAAGATGCTCTTGGCCCTCCCCGGCAGACGGAGCGTGAACAGCAACAATACCTCGCCCAGATCGCCGCCAAGTTCCAGCGAATCGTTCGTGCAGCTCTCGAAGCCAACTACTCCACTCATTCAGCGTTTGATGAACACGGCTTGAGGCTTATTACTCAAGTAGTAAGCATCATAGACACGTTCAATAACCGAATGAGACAAAAGGGTCATACCTACTCCTTTGTCAAGGTGGAAACAGAGCCTTCAGGCGATGCAGCAGCGGACAAAGCGGATGACAGTGAAGAAGAAGAAGATGCTTCAGAGCACGGTGTAGACAAGAACACCACAACCAACGCGAAGGAAGTTCGCCAAGCATTTCCGGAGTTGGAGAGCATTATTCACATGGTGGAGGAACCGAGTGCTGAATTCACCGTTCTACAAGATAATAGTAACTGGATCCGGAACATGTACAACGAATCTCGTGGTATCGAACTCGGCACCTTCAGTCCCATCATCCTTGCCAGCGCTTTCCGGGACCAGACTACGAAATGGAGCCTAATGACGGAGCACCATGTCAGCGATATCATTCTAAGCATCCACAAGTTTATCCTTAGCATCCTTAAACTTGTTTGCTCGGATGGCAAGCTCTTCGAGGCCATCAAATCCATCATTATGGATGATCTACTGGCGAGGTATGCGAGCGGTATGGACTATGCCAAGTTTCTGGTCCAGGTGGAACGAGAGAAGAAGCCCTACACCGTCAATCACTATTTCAGCAGCAACCTCCAGAAAGCTCGCGGGGATCGGATCTCGGAGGCCCTGAAGGGGAAGCGCATACATGACAATCGCTGTCACGCACCTGCCGCCTACGTAGTCAAGTTCGACCACGTCAAGTCGGCCATCACCAACAAGAGCAACCAGGAGCACGCCCAAGAGGACATCCACGACATCCTCAAGAGCTACTACAAAGTGTCTCGCAAGCGCTTTGTCGACAACGTTTGGCTGTATGCGGTTGATCATCACTTGCTTTCTGGACCCAACAGTCCCTTGACACTCTTTTCGGAACAGTGGGTGTTGGGATTGGATGAGGACTCGTTGAATGCTATTGCGGGCGAATCTCGTAGTACTAGAGATAAACGGAAGGAGTTGACCAAGAAGATTGCGGATTTGGAGGAGGCGTTGAGGATTTTGAAGTAGATGGTGTTGGTACTGCTTTTTGTCATGTTTCTGTGTCGTTTAGTTTGTTGTACAGATGGTTCATGTCGTTTCGTCATCTTTAGTTCAAGTGTATATCATCACGGATTAGCTCGACCCGCGTGTACTGAATGAAGTAGATACTTTGCTCATAAGATGTCATTTCCCCGTTTCACCGCAATAGCTCATGAGTTTTGTCGCCTGCAGCCTAACGTACGGTACCACGACGCCGCGGTGAACGCTTATGGCTCACCGAAATCTCAACCTGGGTACCTACACTAGGATCTAGGTACGTCGACTTGTCACTTGCCACTTGTCACTTGTCACTTGTCACTTACTTGTGTGTCCCAAAGAGGGAAACCAAATGCGGTATTCGGTATCCCCATTCGAAATTCGAAGCAAGACGGGGCAGTGCCGGCCGCGGTATGTGTCTTTCTTGCTTGTGCGCAGCTGTGCTGCTTACCTTATGCGCGTTATCGTTGTGCTACCTACCCAGTCGGATAATGCGATTCTACCTACTACTCGGAACTGATAGAAGTGCAGTTGTCACGGTTGTTATCTGTGGACGAATCGGGCAGGGCAGAGGGTGTGTGGGAGGATGTGCGGCAGGGCCGGGGTACTATACACTGTACTTTACTGTATACTAGAGGTAAGTACAATCTGATGCATGGGACTATGGGACGTGGAATTGAGGTGTTCCTGTCTGTTCCTGGAGATGAGAGGAGATGGAATAAGATGAGATGAGGAATGGTAAGCTGCAAGCTGCAATGCACTCCCCGGCTTTTTCTACGTGACACAACCGTAAGGCAACGGGAGCCCTATTTAAAGGGTAGGAAGTACCGAACGACGGAGGGTTGATCTGCCTCGGGGTTTTGCGTATCTTGAATGGTTGGATCAAGGATCAATCATCCCCGCGTTCGTGAGGCGGGACCGTGTGATATGTGACATGACATGGAAAATGAGACATGTTAAGCCGTTCTTACTTCCTTTTGCTGTGTTCGTTGGACTTTGGAATTACGTGGGGTTGGAACTGCCGACATACATACGAACAGCCTGAAATGGCCAACACCAGCCACGATGGATCTTTTCATGCAAACCAACGTCGACTTGAATGCTCTGTCGTTGTTCCTCTTTCTATTCAGCGGAAGACACCGATGATGACAGCATGCAGCTACATACTGGTGAGACTGGGGAACTTTATGGGGCAGATGGGGTAACACGGCATGGAAAGGCTCTGAGGCTGAAGGCCCCACTGAAGCGGCAGTGCCCGCCACATGATGCGGATCCTCTACCCAAAGGGGACCCGCTCCCTCGTCAGCCACGGGTTCTGTCAGTTGGTTGGTTGATGGTTTTTGACCAACCGCACTTGCCTACGGAACTACACTGCTAGCTAGTACTATACTAGTGTATAAATCTTCAGCGAAACCCAAGCCCTGCCAAGAAATCAACCACCGGCCGCCGAGAAGAGACGGTGGGAAACGGTGTACGTACAAATCCATCACCGCAGCAGCGCTTGGTGGCTTTCTATGGCTCGAAGGGTGCCTAGCGCCGCCGTACCTATGCACTGTTGATCCTTCCATAGCGAACGAAAGTCTCTTCACTGACGATTTTAGCGATTTAGCGGTCCAGTGATCATGGCAACAGCCCACCAACGGCAGCCGGGGCCCGGGGTAGGGCAGCAGCGGTCTGACCCTTACTTTCACTTCCCCATTCTTGTTGAGGGTCTCATCCGACAGGCTGACGACGGATCGATGTCTACACCGAACTTCGTCATACCTCTTACACTGCCCGAGTTTACTGAGTAGGGTTACTTAAAAGGCGGGACGGTCCGTTATCTTTGTGCAGGTTTGGAAGCTTCTTTGAAACCTTGACTCAACGATAGGTACTTCACCATGGCGAACCAAAACGGCCAAACAGACCAGCAACTGCGTCCTCCCACACCGGACTACATCACAATGGGGGGTGACGATGATGGAATGGAGACGCCCCGCCTACAGGAAGGCATAAAAGCAAAGCCAAAGCGCATCATAGTCTGCTGTGATGGAACGTGGATGGACTCACTAGGGAAGAGGGGGTGAGTGTTTAGTTTCATGTACTCTTCAGCCCGAGCAGTGCTGACACTTAAACAGAGAAGAACCACCATCAAACGTCACCCGCATCTCACGCGTTCTGCGCCGGACATGCTACGACGGAACTCACCAAGTCATCGCCTACGTCCCCGGCGTGGGCACAAGTAACAAGCTGGATTCCATTACCGGCGGCGCCTTTGGTATGGGACTGGATCAGGTACATCCATCCCCCTTCTCCTCTCATCCCATCTCACCACTAACACACCCCAGGACATCCGCGAAGTCTACAATTTCATCTGCACCAACTACGTCGACGGCGACGAAATCTTCCTCATTGGCTTCTCCCGAGGCGCCTTCACCGCCCGTTCCACCGCCGACATGATCGCCTCTCTTGGCATCCTCATGCCCGACGGTCTCGACCGCTTCTACTCCATCTTTCACGACTACATGTACATGGGCACCCCCTCACGGAACAAGACCGAGTTCGTCGTGCCCAACCTGCCCGAGTACAAAGGGCAAAAAGGCCAGGCCAAGATCGAGTGGGAGGCAGAGCGCATGAAGACGTACAAGGAGCAGTTGATCGAGCTGGGCTACACGCGGGACAAGTTCAGCGACAAGAAGACGGACATCACCATCAAGGCGCTGGGAGTGTGGGATACCGTTGGCGCTTTGGGGATCCCGCCTGCGCCCGTGATTGGAGTCAGGGGGTCGTCTAACCAGTGGGCTTTCACTCACACGCAGATCTCCGATAAGGTGGAGCATGCTTTCCAGGCTTTGGCGCTGGATGAGCCCAGGTATGCGTTCCGCCCGGCCTTGTGGGAGCGGTTACCGGGTAGCAAGACGAATCTGAAGCAGGTGTGGTTCCCAGGGACGCATGCGAATGTTGGAGGGGGGTGGTATGATCAGCAGATTGCTGATATTACGCTTGCTTGTGAGTTTTTTTTTCCCCCCCTTCTATTCTACCCTTTCCGACACCATACTGACTCCCGAGAAAAAGGGATGTGCGACCAACTCTCGACCCTGGGCGTCGAATTCAACCTCAAAAGGATGCACTCCATCTTCCTCGACTCCCTCCGCTACTCCGCCGCCCACCCCTTCCCTTACTCCCCGCCTTCCTTCACCCAAGCCCTCCTCACCAAAGGCAAATCCACCATCTCCAAACTTCTCACCATCGGCAAACCCTCCTCTTTATCCCCGCGCCCCTCCTCCATTTCAATTCCATCCCCCATTTCCCCCCGCCAATCCACCTCCACCACTTCCTCTTCCATCTCTTCCTACTCTCACACCAAATCCCATTCCCACTCCAAATCGCACTCCCTCTCCACCCCAACCAACACAAAAGGCACACCCGCCCTCCCCTGGGCCCTCCCCCCCATCTTCCACCCTCCCCCCTCTTCGTGCTCAACAGGTCCCTTCTTCCACGACTCCAAAGAATGCACCCCCCTACACATCCACTCCCACCCCCCTCTCGCCTCCACCCCTTCCGCCCTCCTCTCTCTCGGCGCCCGTCCCTGGGGCCTAGGAACCCTTCGCAACCCAGCCAATACAAGTCTAGCTACCCTAGCGGGGCGCACCGTTCGGCGCCCTGGACTCTTTTTGCGGGTCGACGAGGACAGCAATACCGATACGCCTTTTCCGCTTTTATCCACCGGGGAAACAATACATTCGTCTGTGAGGGTACGCTTGACGTGTGGTGGACTAGGGCCGGATGATAAGGATGTTTGGGGGTGTGATGCTTTGTTGAAGGGACAAGACGGGAAGCCGTTGTGGAAGTTGGAACGGGGGTGGGGAGTCGGCAAGGAGGAACAAGCAAAAATAGAGGGGTTTGTGCCTAGGGAGGTGGGGGTTTGGGGGATTGAGGCGAAAGGAGGCAGGAAGAGGAGTGGGTCAAGGGTATACCCCACGGAAGGATTATACCAAGTCAAAAAAGAGGAAATGGCGTGGCGGTGGGTTTATATAGGGGATGAAAAGTCGGTGCAGACGGGAACGGGAAGTGGGAAGATTGTGTTTGGCAAGGGAGTGCGGTTCCCGGATCGAAAGGTGTTGGCGGAGGAGCCGGTGGTGGGGTATTGGGAGCGGTATCTTTTGGGCATGTTGACTGCGCCGGGTGAGAGGGATGTGTGGCGGTGGGCGGCGGAGAGGGGGATGGAGAGGGAGAATTTGAAGGGTGGTGGTGGTGGTGAGGAAGGGGTGTTGGCGGAGGTTAGTACGAATGAGAGATTGAATGGGAGGATAAAGAGTATCAGTAATGGGACGGGAAATGCAAGTGCCAAGGGACATACCAAGGCTGCGCATAGTGTTGGTTAGGGACAGGGACATTGTGGCGAGCTGTGCTGGTAGCTTGGTGATGGCGTGGGGAGATCTTACCTACTGCTTTTTGAGCATCGGATTATGATTTATGGCTAGCCTGGTGTTTAGGGAGTTTTTCCGGTTCTCTGCGTTCAGTCATGGATATTTCATGGAAGAAACGATATAGTCATTTTTGGCTAGTGAAGGAAGGATGAAAGAAGAAAGGTCGTAAGACAAAGTAGTTCTAATAACGTAATGTCAAATAATCATTTCACAAGCCCTCGTGAACGACGAGTCGACGGACGACATACATGGACGAAGACAGACTCCCCCCTCATAGGATGTATATACAGTCCAGTACTAGTTTGTTTGTTAGCTCGAGACCTCGTGTCAACTTTCCTATGCGTTTTCATGGCTAACTAATGTATGATCTTACCGTGGGCACGCCATCTCTAATATTCAAAATACCTAATTAAATCCAACTAATACCTTTTAATTAATCTATATAACCTTTAGGACTATTCGAAATAGATTTTTTGTCCAGTACACTATATTTATTGTACAGCAGGAGTGCCTAGTGTACCAAGCTAACAATCAAACCAGCATTGGACTATATATCTAGGAAGGTCGTCAATCATGTTCAACATGTAACAGTCCACTCCTGCCAGGTTCGCTCATGTCGTTCGTTAGGTACCTAGCTAGCTTGAGACCTCCATCCAATTATTGAAGCTCCCCTACCTATCTCTAGACTAGGCATTTCCATGTCCAAGTGAGTCAGTCAGTCAGTCGGATTGTACCTACCTACCTAGCTAGCCTAGGTAGGTAGGTATTCATCTTCGTCCTTGAGGTTTAGGATGGACAACTTGGGATATGCCATATAGATCCTGTTTTTGGTATGCCATACCAGGGGTACGTACCAAGCTAAAGAACGAACGAACAAAGGAACCAGTATTGACTTGTATTGTTCTTGAGTGGGTGATGGAATGATACTGTGGGGATTGGATGGAGCTCGTCAGTCGAGCTCGGCCACTTAATTCTTTTTTTTTTTTCTTTTTTTTTTTTTCTTCCGTACTTCACGGGTGTGATGGGGGCACCACGACCGAATTGATTGATGAAGTACAGTATCCAGTAAGCACACTTTTAGTCTACACTTAGATCGATGACCTCTCTGATGCATACATATATGAACGAACCCATCAAGCAAGCAAACTAACAAACAAGTATAAACTCTTACGTGATCCCAAATAGCGAGCGACATTATCTTCATTAAATAACAACTTATCCAACTGTCCCTTGTTCTGCTTACACTTAGGTAAACCACAAAATTGTAGAAAGCCAAATGGATGTATAAGGACTCCACTGAATGTAAAGCCCACTGTAGAAGCCTCTAGATGTGAAGATATTGGACTTAAATAGAATACAATAAAATGAAAACATATTGTACACATTTTATACATAACCCCCATCGACCAATGTAGCCCGTATTCGTCCCCTTCTTCTATTCACTTCATTAAGAAGACTATTTTTCTCTAGCCTGTGACGCCGTCTCCTCCTCGCTTTTCACATCCTTAGTCTCAGCTGCGGGGTTCCAATCCTCCTACAGCTTGTCCTTCAGTTCGTCTTTCGGCTCGTCCTTCGGCTCCCCCTTCAACTCGTCCTTCACTCCCTCAACCACATCCTCCTTGAAACCCTCCTTCGCATCCTCGTTCAGCTCGTCTTTTAGCTCGTCTTTGAGCTCGTACTTCAACTCGTCCTTCACTTCCTCCTTCAAACCCTCCTTTAGATCCTCATCCATATCCTCCCTCGTATCCACAACTGGCTGCGTCCTTCGGGAGACGTAAAGAGCAAGATTCGTCAGAGCCCTCCCCCGCGGGGGTCTCGGCGTCGGAACGAACAGTGATGGGGTCTTCTCATCTGAATGCATCTCCTGAGTGGTTGCCTCTTCCTCGGGAGCATCTTGAACGGGTGTGCTTTCAAGCACATCGTTCTGATCAGCGGTACCATTGACGAGGTCCGATGACATGGCCGTCTCTTCCGTACTATCCTCTTGGATGGCGACAGTCTCAGAGTCGGCTAACGCAGCAGTGGAGGAGGAGGTCTCGGTGTCGCAAGGTTCGACGGAGGTCTCAGGTGTAGCGACCTCTCCGGCAGCGGCCTCTCCGGCAGGAGTAACCTCATCAGAAACCTCGGGAGCAGTGGTGACCTCGGGCATAGCCTCCTCAAGTGCCTCCTCCATGGTGAGAAACGACTTCATAGCTGCCTCCTTAGGATTAAAGGAAGAAGCACCCTTGATGTCAGCGTCAACGGCCTCCTCAATACTGGACCTCCAGCCCTCGGCCTCGGCCTCGGTGAGCTCCATGTTGGTATCGACTTCAACGTCGGTAATCTCGACGTGACTGGACGGGTCATCGGTGGCAGCTTCTTCTGTGTGGCCGATCTTGACAAAGGTGACGGACCGAGCCGGGTTGAGTCTTCTCAGCTTTTTCAAGATCTTTGCTATCCTTTGCCTTCTCACTGTGAGGATTTCGATCTTTGCCGCGTTTTCTTTCTTCTTTATAGCCAACTCGGCCAGTGCCTTTATCCCAATGCTGAGCGCAGCTTCATTGTCGACGACGTTATCGGCGGCGGCGGCGGCGGCGGCGGCGATGGGTTCGAGTTCGTTTTTGTTTTCGTCCACCTCCTCGTTTTTTCCCACCAGTTGATGTTCCGCCCCTTTCGCTTTCTCCTTCTCCATCTCCAGCCTTCCGTTTTTCTCCCATAACACTTTCATCTCCTTCACTATCCTGACTCTCTCATCCTTTAACGGTTTCAACTCGCTATCAATTGTCATTCTCTGCCTAGCGCACTTCTTCTCGAATGCGATTCTCCGCTTCATGTCCTTCTTCATGAGATTCATGAGACCTTCCTTGCGCAGAGCGTCGTATTCATCCATTAAATTGTTGAACATGGTCTCATCATCAGCTGCTGTCGTGCGAGGGCTTTCTTCGGCGTCAACTTGCTCCACCTTTTCCCCTTCCTGCTCCGCCTTTGTCGCCTTCACCGCCGCAGCCGCCATCTCCTTCATCGCCCGCTGCTTGAAATCTTCCAAGGGTAGCTTTTTCTTCTTCTCCAACATTTCGAAGAACCCGCTGGTAGTCATGTGGTAGCCGTCTGGGCCCCAGTCACCGCTTTCGGACTCGCTCATAGCCTCGTCATACCACTCTCCTTCCTCTGGTAGAGAGGGTGTAGATTCTGGCCTAAATCGTTCCTCCTCGGCAGACATGCTCGTGGCATTGGCGTGCGCATCAACATCGGCGTTGGCCTGCTCGCGTTCGAGTTCGCGCTCCTCTCTTCGTAAATCCTGAGTCAAGGCGTTCCTGATGATGGATCTGTACGCGTAGGACGATTTGGTCAAACCAGGTGGTCCAAAACCGGTTTTCTCGTCCGGTTGCTCGCCATGCCGCTGACGCTCATACGGTTCAAGCTTTTCCTGTGGCCCTCCCTGCTCATCAGCCGATGGAAGAGGCGAACCCACGCCACCAAGCTCCCTCTTCCGTTCCGACAGATTCATAAACGGAAACCTGTCGGTCTTCATTCTCCACGCATGCTTGCTCAACAAAAACTGCATCTTCCCCAGCACCATGTCCGCTCTCGACTCGCGCACCGCCTCCAGCCTTAGCTGCATCTCCGCGTTCCTCTTTTCCACCTCCGCGGCCATCTTTTCTGCCACCTCGACGAGCGGCGGGAGTTCGGCCTCGAGCCTGGCCTCCTCGTCTGCCTGAATAGCAACCGATAACGCCTCCAACAGGCTTTCTATGTCCTTCTCGAACATGATGCACGCGGCCCAGTGCTCCTGGGAGGAGGCCGAGACCTGTCGGTCGGCCAGTAGATTCCGGACACGTTGGATGGCGGCCTTGTCAGCCACGATCTGGCGGTACAGTTCATACGTACGGCCTTTCTTGAGGCTTTCGGCCCGGCGGGTCTTCACGGCCGTCAAGATGCGGTTGATCTCGGAGGAGAGCCGCTCGATGTCCTGCTGAAGGCGGCGGTCGCGGAACAGGCGAGCGAGCTCGGCGGCGCGGCGGAGTATTTTGGGCAGCGCCATGGGGTTGAGGGGCCTAGGATGGACTGCCTGGTTGCGGATGTCTTTGAGGGTGAAAAGGTGGTTGTTCACGTAGATGACGCGGCGGCGCGCGGGCACAGCCGTTTCAAACGTGGAGCCCGTGTCGAAGGCGAAGACATGGTCGGCATCGGTCTGGAGCAGCTCGCTGAAGATCTTGTGCCACGTGCTCAACTCGACGGCTTCGGGGCAGTCCCAATTTTGCTCGACCAGGTGATGGGGGATGTGTACGAGGGCAAATTGGTAGCAACACTCCTCGAACAGCTTGTGGAGCGTCAACATGACGGTTGTGGTTACTTTGAAGGGGAAGGCGATCATGGGGTAGTGGTCGGCCAGGGAATCCTTGAGCTGGATGGGCTTTGTTTTGGCGGTCGCCTCATTGAGTCTGATGGTCGGGCGGTGGTAGGGCTTAGACGATTCGAGGTTTTGAACGCGCTCGGGCTTTTCCTTATACTCTTCGATGGGTGCAGGTTGCTCTCTGATGCTTTCCATATCAACGTCCTGCCCTGCCTCGTCCTCCTTCTCTATCGGTTGCTCTATCTCTTTGTTTCCTGACTGCTCGACTGGCGTCGCTTCCATTTCTGTTTCTGCTTTGCTTGATCGTTTGCGTTTGTCTGCAGCGATCGAGGCGGCGAAGAGTTGCTTAGCTTTCATGAATACCATTTCGCGATACGTTTGTATCTCATCAAGGGCACCAAGCATCCACTCATAGTCCTTCCCCTTGATTTCCGCTTGGTTGCGCTGCTCTGGAGATGGTGTGTTGAGGAAGATGCCTGATGACACTAGAACTGCCTCGTCGGCCTCGCGAAACTCTTTTTTTCGCGCCAAAAGCGCGGCTTCAAGGTTTCTGACGTGCTCGGCTTTGAGTTCTACATCCTGGGCATCCGCGGCTTCAGCCTGTGCAAGGTCTAGCTCCCTTTGCGCCTTATCTAATTTGACCTGGGCCTCCTCCAGGGCTTCCCGGGCCCGTACTGCAGATTCGGTAACGTCCACGACGGCGCTACGACAAACTGCAAAGCTTCTGTAGTCGATTGTCTGGTCCTTGATTTGTACGTGGAAGCAAGATATCATAACGTACGAGCGGGCCAGGGCTTGGATCGCCTTTTGACGATCTTTTTGAGACTTGTTGGTATCAGTGAGGCACCTCAGAGCGTCCCTTGTAGCCTTTCGGAGAAATCGCCACTTTTTCGCCCTAACCTTCAAATTTTTTAAGCCGGTGTATGTGAGGCGTCTAGAAAGAGACATGATTTCCATGTCGTCCTCTGGAGTTTGGGGTGGCAAGCAGGACGGAGCTTGACGGGCCAGACGGTCTGCTTGTTCCGAGTCCGTCGCGGCCGGCTGTGGAGCAGAGGAAGCCGTGGTTGGGCGGAAGAACTGGCGGTGGTGAGGGTGAGTGCGGATTTGATGAAGAGGATGGCGGACGATGACGGCCGACTTGAATGTGACCCATGATGCTGGTCGTCGTGCGCATGCAGTCGCCACCACGCGGCAGAGGTTCGAGGCAACCATTGTCACGGCGGCATGTCCGGTATCCAGGACATGATGGACTGGAGTTTGTTCAGGATGGAGCGCTTGTCATGAATCGACAGATGGGTGGATGTATCGAAGTGAGTGGTCGCTGATGAGATGTGAAGTGAAGCGAAGCCGTGGCAGCAGCATTCAATTGATGGCAGGCAAACTGAATTGACGAATCAGACTGGAAGTTAACTGCCCCGCCGGGAAAAGCGGTGATATGTGGCTAGTGGCATCTGTACAGGGAACTGTAGTGACTGCGGAAATTTATTGGCGCGCTTGATGAAAATTATGTACACGTGCAGCTCATCGCACAGTTCGCCTTATCTGCATTGCGGCTGATGCTACCACTCGCGACCAAAAGGCCAAAGTCGCATTGGACACTCGTCGATTTTACAGCATTTTCAAGCTCTTGCATTGATTCAACCTTTCCAACCGGAAGTTCGCACCTTCAATCCATTCTCCCCAATTTGTAGCATTATCTGGGGTGCTTGGTGACTGTGCAAAAAGGCGGGGATACATCGATGAGCACCAAGGGAAGGAAGGGGCTTACAGGGGCTTACAGTGCGTGTAAAACCTGTAAATTTTTCCAGCACCCCACGACAGCAGTTCTGGTGGCATCCTTGGTAGCCCCGGCCCTCCATAAAGGGGGAAGGAACGATCAGTAGAAGAGACAAATGTGACTGCCCACACTACGTCGATTCTTTGTCGCTCTGACCTGGAAAAACAGACATGTTCATAATACAAGCATGAAATCTGCACTGATAAGACTCCCGTCGATTTCCGTCATCAAGGCAGATCCCTCTGCTCCTTCTGTTGGAACTGGGAAGCCGGGCCGTCAATCAGTCACGAGCTACAAGGGTCAAAACATCGCGACATGGGGGTGAGACATCTCGAGTTGTTGACTTGACGCCTGCGACAGAGGTATACTTCGATGCGTACCTGTAGTTATCAGATGTCCTTTTGTCTCCGTAGCTGGCCGACTCGAAATTCTGCTTGCGGCTGGCGCTGATGCCACGGCTGACAAGAGGGTCGAAACCCGTTCAGCGTAGTAGTGCCACTATCCGAGACAGAGTTGTTATCCTTTCCGATACAGGAGGAGTGTTATTTGCGACGGACTTGCCATCCGCCCTCCAGGTAGAAGAAGCATCAGCATAATTCAGCAGAAACTGGTTCAAGCTCAAATCCCCCCATCTCCTCCTCCAGTCCACATCCGGAATCGTGCACTCTTTCCTGTCCACCACCTGAGTGCTCTCCATCCTGCACCCCGTATGCTTGCACTGCCCGACCAAAGTTCACCGGATCGTTGCGGTACCTGGCGCCTATCGCGCACCTTCTCCTTGGTTGGTGTCCTGCCACCAGTTTCCATACTTCTGACAACACCTCCACCGTCATTGCAAACTTGCCTTTCCTGCCCCTCCACATCTTCTGTCGCCGCAGGAGTATGGCCGTCCGCACGACAGGCGGTACCCCCGTCTTGGCCTTTGGGGTTCCTTCTCATACAAGAAAAATTGGACCGCGTTCGGCGGGCCGTGCGCTCATTCGGTCGCAGTGCTATATTCCGGTGAGATACCTAGGTATTTGCGATGGACTTCGTTGGGAGTTGTGTTGTAGAAATTGAAGCTAGTCTGTTCGTTGTTGGCAGCGACGAGCGGAAGGGAGAGAAAGTGTCCTCCGCCTGAAGCGAAATGGGATAATGGCAAGAGATTGTGACGCTACAGAAGCCTCTGCTGGGTAGAGGTACCTACCTATCCTCTAATACCTCTCTCCGTCTCCTTCAGGCCTTCAGCACTGGAAGATAGGCTGTGAGATTAAAATGCCCAATAGAAAGCCAAAGTCTTTTCTTTGTCTAGTACAGCTTTCGCTTTCCTATACCAGACTAACCAACAAACCAGGGCTGAATTGTACATTAGTAATATCACGAGTGCGTCGGGCAGACAAGCAGGACTTCACAGACTGTCTCAATCGTTGAGAAGGGCGAGCGAGAAGATTTGGCTGGATTCAATTGGTAATTACCTCCGAGTTTGGATGCCGGGATGGGTACTTTTCATAATAGTTTGGGGAATGTTCTTAACGTTGAAAGATGAACATTTCTTGGTGACATCGACATATGCCATGAAAGAGACGCCACTTTCAAGTTGTGATCACGAAACTTGGGACACCAAGATGATGGGCAGTTGTGGATGTGATGATGACTGGGAAAGTTCACATGAATAACTTAAAGAAAGGCGGTGGCTTCTCAAGGCGAAAAGAAAGAGAAGAATTAGGCCTGGACAAATGGTGTCCTGCTGTCAGGCACACTAGCCACTGGAGACTGGAGACACGAAGATCGAAACAAGGGGAAGATATGGGAAAAGAATAGAAAAGGAAAGCGAGAGAAAAGGAAGAGGGATCAAGCATTGCGGGCAATGTCATCACGTAAGCTGGCCGATGTCCGGGACTGCCATTGAGGGTTAGTAAGTCAATGACTGTACTATTGAACTAAGGACGCGACCACTTAAGACGACGGAACCTCACCAAGGTAGCGATGGGAGCTACCCCACTTTTCAGCCGTGATTCATCGAACCATGACTCCTCCAACTTTCATCAAGATATAAAACCTCAACACCGCAACAAAACATCCAAAAATCAGTTATTGTAAAAGGCACCACATCCCTCGGGCCCTCAGCCTCACCTACTTATACTCACCAACTCATCCAGAACACAGTAGCCACTCGCGCTCCAACACGTTTATCCATGATGGCCTCCTCCTCCTCCTCCTCCTCCCAACCCATCACCCTCACCTACCTAACCGTCGACGTCTTCACCTCGACGCGCTACCTCGGCAACCCCCTAGCCGTAGTCCTCATCCCCGCCTCTCTTCGTCGCCATCTCACCCAAGACGTCAAACAGCTCATCGCCCGCGAATTCAACTTCTCCGAGACCGTCTTTCTGCATACACTAGACGACGAAGCGCGCGATGGCTTGACTTCTACCAGCCGGGAAATCGACATCTTCACCATCGAGGAGGAACTCCCTTTTGCCGGACATCCCACGGTGGGAACGGCGTACCTCGTGCTGAACCATTTCGGTTGGAAGCATGTTGATACGCTTGTTACTAAGGCGGGACCGATTACTATTAGACCGACGTCCGAAGGAAGGGTGAAAGCTACGATTCCGCATGCTGTGCGTGTTCATAGGCAGACGTTGGGCGGGGTATTGAATGGACAGAAAGAAGGGGAGGTGAAGGATATGATTAACGCTGCGCTATCGAATGATCCAGAGATTAGAGAGGCAGAGTTGAATGGGCCGGTGGTTAGTATCGTTCGGGGAATGACGTTTTTATTGGTCAAGTTGCCGAGCTTGGAACATTTGGCAAAGGTGTCGACGGCGAAGAGGCTGGATTTTAGCAAAGTGGAGGAGTTGTTGGATAAAGGGGAGTGGGAAGGCGGGTTTGTGTCCAGGTATTATTATGTGGCGACGGAGGAGAGAAAGGATGAGGAGAGTGGGAGGAAGGAGTACAAGTTTAGGACGAGGATGGTGGAGTTGGGATTTGAAGATCCGGCGACGGGCAGTGCGGCGTGTACGCTGGCGAGCTACTTGACGGTTAGTGGGAGGGAGATGGGAGGGGCGAGGTTTGAGTTGACGCAGGGCGTGGAGATGGGGAGGCAGAGTGAGATTGAGGTGGAGACGACGGCGGTGGAGGGGGAGAATGGGGAGGTGAAGGTGAAGGATTTGTATTTGGGAGGAACGGCAGTGGTGGTTACAAAGGGAAGTATTTATGTGTAGTGGATTTGATATAGAGTTGAATGTGATGCCGTCGGTGCTAAGCATGGTGTTGAAGTTGAGTATGACGAGCAAAAGATACATTGCCAAAGTACCTCCTCGACGCAATCCTTTACGAAACATGATTGGCCACTCACCGTGGTATGCGGCTCGGTGTGGCTCAAGCTTGGCGTTGGTTCTCTGCCTGCCGCCAAACCTCCAAGTACCTCTAGCGTCGTCCAGCTCCAGGCCGTCTGCTGGCTGGCTGGCTGGCTGGCCGTGGCGCGTTGCAACAAAAAAGTTGGAGGACGACATTGACATCGCGACTTGAAACCAAACAACACATTATACAGATTTCGCATTGCAGTCATATTGTCAAGATGCTTTGCGCCCGTATGTCCCAGCTCTAAGCTACCGTTGCGCAGCGCTGTGCTAACCGATTGACGCAGTATCCGGAGAGGTTCCCGAGGAGCCTGTTGTCTCGAGAAAGACCGGTACGCGCACTCTTCGTCATTGTTGTCACCATCACCGAGATCCCCACCATTCCCACCGCTTCTGTTCCCACCAAGCCACACCAGATGCTTCCACGACAGGCCAAAATGCGATGCCATACTGACACATCCCAGGCGCCGTCTTCGAGAAGCGATTGATCGAAAAGTACATCCAAGAGAACCACAAAGAACCCGGCACCGATGAAGAGCTAGACGTCGAAGACCTCCTCCCCGTCAAGACAAATCGGATCGTCCGCCCCCGCCCCCCGCAATTCACATCCCTCCCATCCATGCTCAAGGCCTTCCAAGACGAGTGGGACGCCCTGGTACTAGAGTCATACAACACGAGGCAACAACTGGCGAGGACAAGGGAGGAATTGGCCACGGCGCTCTACCAGAACGATGCCGCCGTTCGCGTGATTGCTCGCTTGACCAAGGAGCGCGATGAGGCCCGCGAGGCCCTTTCCAGACTTACAGTTACGGCTTCTGCTGGCGGTGCCGCGACTGGTGATGCTATGGCGGTGGACAGCGAGGGTCTGCCCGAGGCGTTGGCTGCACATGTTGATGATGTTCAGGCCGAGTACGTTTACCGCGCTCCGTCACCTTGAAAAAGTTAAATGCTGACGATTTACCGATCTACAGAAAGCAAAAGGGCCGCAAGAAGCGACCAGTCCCCGAAGGCTGGGCCACCACAGAAGACATTTCGGCTCTGCAACAAACCGCCTACACAGATCTCCCCGTCACACAAGCAACCTCGCTTGCCCTCAACGGTGGTTATGCGGCAGTCGGTGGATTGGACGGCAAGGTGGATCTCTACTCGGTCGAGGCCAAGGCACACGAACGCTCTTTGGAGGTTGGCGAGCCAGTGACCGCCACGGTATGGATCGGCAACAAGGTCGTCTCGGCCACTTCGAAGGGCAGTGTCAAGGCTGTTGAGGGCGGTGTCGAGACTGGTTCTGTTACGGAACACGCTGGTGCCGTGACGGGTCTGGCGGTGCACCCTGGCGAGCAGATTCTTGCTTCGGTGGGCGTGGACAAGGGCATCATCTTTTACGATTTGCAGTCGTTGCAGCGTGTGGCGCGTGTTTATACTGATGCTGGTATGTACCCTTTCACCACCCCTCCTCACATTCTCAAGTTACTAATATGGACAAACAGAACTCACATCCTGCGCCTTCCACCCCGACGGCCACCTCTTCGCCGCCGGCACGCAATCCGGCCAGATCGAGATCTTTGACACCAAGACCCTCCAGCGCATGGCCAACTTCACCCTTGGCGCCCCCGTCAAGACCCTTGTCTTTTCCGAAAATGGCTTCTGGTTCGCCGCCACGGGCGTCGGCCAGTCGTCCGTCACCATCTTCGATCTGCGAAAGGAAGGCGACGCCGCGCGGGCCAAGGAGCTCCAGACTGGCGACGTGTCCGGCCTAGCCTGGGATTACACGGGCCAGTACCTCGCCACTGCCGGATCGCAGGGCGTTACGGTGCAGCAGTATGTCAAGGCTAGCAAGTCGTGGACGGAGCCGTTGAGGACAAGCACGCCGGCTGTGGCGGTGCAGTGGGGAGACAAGGCGAGGCAGTTGGTGGCCGTCAGCAAAGAGGGCGTAGTTTCTGTGTTGGAGCCGAAGAGCGAGTAGGACCGCATTGGAAAACACGAAACGTCGGACTCGGAAACGCCCTAGGTGGGGTCGGCTTTGGAGGACCCAAGAAGATTAAAGTGATGGGCTGGAGGAGGAGCGAAAGAGGAGATAGGGGTTGATTGGTTGACGTCAACTCATGATGAGAGAGGGCTCAATGCCAGTCTGCCCAGTATGACGCAAAACATAAACAGCTTGTAAAGTAATTCATTGGTTTATCTGGACTCGAGCGTGAAAAAGATATTTGATGAATAGGCCTAGTTTAGAACTGTGCGACGGAAGCAAGTTGTTTCAAGAGCATATCTGTCTTGTATATGTCTTCACCTTCTGATCATGCCGAAGCAAAACTTGGAGATTCTGTGGTGATACTGCTATATAGCTTCACCTTTGTAGTTTGTAATCTCAACTTTAGCAGTGCCTGCGCTCAAACAGCTTGCATATCACAGTCCATCATCAGACCCTGGAAGAGCTCACGACGAGAACTGGGGATAGTGCGACGTGATAGGCTGACAGCTGTTTGTTCCTGAACGCCCGAATCGGGATGCAGGTAAGGTGGTGTACAATTGGACCCCTATGTCTGGCTGTTAAGGATACAGCGTTGTGACAGGGTCTTTTGCCTGCAGTACTGCTAAGGTACTAACAGAGCTACATCAGGCTTGGTCAGCGTCAAGTTACTATAGAAACTTAGGTATGAAAGACACCAATTGAGGTGTTGATGAATGATCTTGTGCCTCAGTTAAAAAACAAACGACTTCCTCCGTGCCGGTTACCTACCTACCGTAGACACTCGGTTATACTAGTTGGCAAAAAGCCTTCCCTCTTTGAGCGCCCGACAGTGCAAGCACAGGAAGCCGCATACCTCTACTTCTGTACACATGTCCGCTCAGTTAGTGAAGGCTCTACCGTAATGCCCAACACTATCTTGCCTAGACGGCATTCCGAAGCACAGGCTCTGACTCGAGTGATACAGATCTGCGCCCTGCCTGATATCCAGGTTTCCAGGCATTTGTTGAGGTTAGCTTTTTGCTAGCTAACCGAGTTTCTACGGTACTTCCCTCAACCATTCTTATAAGAAGTTTGGCAGGAAGCCTTGGTGGTAACTTTTTTTTTTTTTTTTTTTTTTTCTCCAGTGTCACAAAATATCAAAGCCTCAGTTCCTTCCTTTGTTGACCAAGTCTACACTATTCATCGATCACGGTGATGGTTGGCTCTCATCTTTCAATTTCTTTCCGCTCACCCAAAAAACAACAGCTTGAAACCACAACACGCTATTCGCTCATTTGCTGACCAAGCTGACCAAGCTGCGTTTGCCACCACCCACCCCTCGAGGCTGCAGACAGCTAGCTCTCCTTCAACCCTGACCTCGTTGTGCCTGATCACCGTCCAGCATCCCTAGGTAGGGACGAATTGGACATTTGGGTCTGGTTCCCAAATTCACTTCAACACGTGCACTTGTTGAATCAGCAGGGCGGTTCGGCTTCATCCCGGTCGTTCATCACCAGCGGCAAGGGGGACCACACTGGTGTTGGCCCGAAAGCTCGAGGTCAGTCTGTGCATTGCTGCTCTCCCCAATCTTCCAGTTAGGGAAATGCGCGGAGGCGACTGTCAGTGAATAAGCAATTTCACCCACCGAACACCGACACTGGCACCGCGACTTCGCAGTGGAATCAACCTCCTTCCTCCCCCTTCCATTTCCCCCCGGGTCATTATGGACGCGGCAGACGGCTGGTTTGATGACGAGGGCGGATTCTTGTACCAGGTTGAGCGATTGGTCGCTGAGGGCGAAGGGCAATTCGAGGACCACTACGAAGACCATTTGGACAACGGCAACGACAGCAGTGACATTGACCTTGACCTGAGTCTCGACGAGAGTGAAGACGATCACGAAGTTCCTGGATTGGACTGGGATCACAATTTGGACGACAACAACAACAACATTGACCTAGACCTTGACGACGAAGAAGGAGAAGAAGAGGAGGAAGAGAATCACTACAACGTTGGCGGCGGTTCGCTGTCGCCCCGCCATCGACAGAGTCCACATTCCCCACAGTCTCCGTCATCTAGCGAATCTAGCCTGGTCGACGCCGACCCTGGATTTGACATCGACCTCGACCTTCCTTACGATTTTGACCACGACTTCGGCCTTGACATTCCCGGCTTTCACGATTACTCCGACAACAGCGACAACAGCCTCGATCTTGACAGCAGCGGCTTCCTTTCGTCAGATACAGAACAAGACAGCGAACACGACAACGACAACACCTCTAGCGAAGAAAGCGACGATTCTGATTCCTCTCTCGACCGCCGTCTCCGCGAACAATTTGACATCTTCGAAGCCAGCGCACGTATTGAGGCACGTCTTGACGAACTAGAACAACGCCGCCAGCTATTTGTGCAAGGACTGGCTGAGGCGCGTCGACGGTTTGCATCGATTGCAGGAGAGGAAAACCGCCACGAACAACATCGTCACCACCCGTATCGCGTGCCGGCTCTGCTTGACCGTCGCCGTGCTCAACAACAGCGGCAAGGCGGGGGAGGTGTTTTAGGTTCGGGTGAAGGAGCAGCAGGTGCCCCGCGAGGAGGACAAAACCTTGCCGCCAACATATTGGACGAACTAGTCGAGATGGAAGTAGAATGGGCGGGCCAGGGCGGCAACGCTGGCCGGCGGGCAGGTAGGCGTACTCCCGCTGCTGCCGCCGCCAATAACAACCTCAACCCCGCGCAACCACAACAACAAGACCAACAAGCTCAAGTTGTCATCGACTTGACCTCAGATCTGGAAGATTCCGACGCCGAGCCCGCTGCCCTTCCTCGAGCTGGTGGAAATCGAGCTATAAACAACCGCCGTCATCATCATCATCACAACCCCGCAGCATCAGCAGCACGCCGCGCACGCCGCGCAATGTCCGCCAACAACGCCAACAACGGCGCTCCTGCCCAAGCTGGCAACGGATTTGCCGAGGTCATCGACCTTACGCTGGACGATGACGAACCCGCCCCAGCTGGTCCAGCTGCCAGCGGTCACCGCAACCACCGCTCTCCTCACCGCGAACCCGGCAACGTCGAACGTAGCCGTAGGCCCGTGAATCGCCGCCCGGCCGCCAACGAACTGATTGTCGACCTAGGCGAAGTTGACTCAGACGACGACGACGCCGTGGCTCGCGCCGCTCATCGCTCAGTAGCACGTAACGCCACCGCCGCCGCCCGTCCCCCAGCCGCCGCCGGTAGAGCCGCGCGCGCAGTACCAGGCGCTGGCATGTTTGGCAACTTCTACCACCTTTTCCGCCTGGGCGCTTTCGCCAACGTCCGACCGGATCTCGAAGTCCAACTTATTGGCTTGGACGCGAACAACAATCCGCTGGGAAGGAACTTGCCACATCTCGACTACGGTAACAATGGACGAAACGGAGTTGCGGCGGCTGCGGCTGCTGCTGCTGCTGCGGCTGCGGCAGAACAGCAGAGGAACGCCAATGCGCCGCCACCGCCTAGAGAAGGGTTCACGCGGGCTACGGGAGAGGATCTTACGGTGGTTTGTCCGAGTTGTGAGGAGGAATTGGCTTATGATCCTGACGAGGAAGATCAAAAAGCGGGGCCGACACCGAAGAAGGCGAGGACGAAGAAGGATCGAGAGGAACACTTCTTTTGGGCTGTCAAGGAGTGTGGTCACGTATGTTTTTTTTCTCTCTTTTCTCTATATGCCCCTTGCTCTTCCCCCGGCTCGTGTGGTGATGATGGTGATCTAACGATCGAATCAACGAAACAGGTCTACTGCAAGAAATGCTACGAAAACCGCAAGTGCACAAAGAACACGGGCTTCAAACACAAGGATCAGGGGTCCTCTGCGTCGGGCGCGGCTGGTTCTAGTTCCGGCGCTGTGGCGGCCAAGAACCTCAAGGTCCTTTGCGCCGTGGACGATTGCACGACTGATGTCAGCTACAAGACGGCGTGGGTTGGTTTGTTCTTGTGATCTTCAGTCTATCTGGGGCGCAATGGATGTTGTCGTCGGTGTACTATCGTCGCATCTGGTGTCAGCCGGCGGTGTAAACATCGACCAAGATGACGGACGGCGGACAATATGGACAGCGTCGTCCAGGCTCTTGCAGCTTTCCTCTCTACGACATGTTCACCCCGGTGGCCCTTCCATTTTACAAAGGGCGTTTCATTTCGGTTGACCACTTGTCCTTCCACGGACGGACTTTCCAACCTTACCTCTCCCACGACGGGTCCCTCTCTCGAATTTCTTGTTTTTCCGTTTGACGCCTCACAGCGCCTCTCACTCACTCACTCACTCACTCACTCACTCACCTCACGATCTCATGGTGGTCTGACGGTGGTTTGGTCTGGTCCGTCCCGGTCTCTTGAACGGATGGTTGTCGGCGGCGGTGGTCTGACTGCTTGCTTATACATCGATACCTTCCTCAGTAGCATAGCGGAACATTTGTTAGCATGGTCACGGCTAGGTGTTGTTAGTACGGTTTCGGTTCGGTTCGGTTCGGTTCGGTTTTGCTTTGTTAGATAGACTATGCGGCATTTTCCCTTCAGAGAGGGATTTTCTTTTTTGTTTTTTTTTGTTTGCTTTATGGTTTCAACTGCATGCATGGATGGACGAACGGATGGATGGATGGATGGATGGACGGATCGACGGGGAGGGAAAAAGGGTTTATTTAGGGTTGGTTGGCGTTGGTGGATTTTGTATCCTTATGGTACCTTTTAGGGAAGATGGAAGATGGAAGATGTACACTTTACAATCACCTACCCTCTTCATGAACGTACATATGGTTTCCACCTTGAGGTCTTGAGGTTAGGTCATGTTGGTGACGATGCCGTTGTCATTCCCTTGGGTTTGCTGGACCCAACTTAGGGCAGTGAGAGAGTTGAAGGAATAAGGGAAGATGGTCAGTGATGCAATGGTGGATTGAAAGAGGTTGTAGTTACGGACGCTTGCTTCCACTTCGCTGTGGCGGGAGAGTATCTTATTGACACACAACGAAGAGTTGAATGGTGTCGGTGTGCTCTTGTGAAAGTTACAACCCAATCAATATCCGTGCAAAGGTACCTTAGGAACTCAAAACTGAAGCCATGATGGATGGTCCGTCCATCACAGACAACATACCCTTTAGAGGTACCCAGTCTTGTTGAGTATCACAAGGCAGGTACGAAACAGTTCTTTGCCTCTCTTCCATGTGGACGGTTCGAGGCCCAACCCATCTTGTCATTGCTAATGTGTGAAAATGGCAGGCGCGACTTTGAGTTCATCATCATACTCTTTCACTTCAGTTCAGTTCAGATTTTAGCTCAGCTGGATTTTTCGCTTCTCAACTTCCTTCTTTCTTTCTTTCTTTCTTTCTTTCTTTTTTTTTCTCCCCGTCCGCCCTGATCAGTCCGGTGCCTCTAAACTCTTCCATTTCCTTCCACTTCACTGCCGCATCATCATCTGTCACCGGGTCGCTCTCAGCTTCCAACATTCTCTTCGCTCAGTGGCATCTTTCCCTAGTCCGGATCTTTGATTCACGTTTACCTTAGGTTGCTGTTCCCCCTTCATACTTTCAACCACCGGGCAGTTTGGGCCTTGGAGCTGAATCGGAATGCCATCCTTCTCCCGATCGGCTTCTGCGAGCAAACGACCTGGAAGGCTTGTTTGCGTCACTCATGCGGCCAGCAGATGCGGACATGATTATTGCATGGGTGTTGCTGCCACCACTTCCACCAGCGATAGTCGAACACCAGCGACATTGGAATACTAGAGTATTGGAGAGGTGAGATTTAACACTGCCTTGTTCGCTCCTTGGTTGGATACCCGTTGTGGGTGGCAGCCTTGAGGCCCATTCCACTCAACTTTTCACGTGTTTTCCGCTCTTCCAACTTGGTGCAATGCTGGCCTATCTATCCTGTTATCTCTACCAGTCCAGGTCCGCGATCTTTAACTATCAAAAGGGAACATCTCACTACGAATACTTGCCCTCCGGTCACTCGGCGGTTTGAATCCCCCTGGTCGTTTTCCAGTCCCTTTGCTTAAGCATATCAGTCTAACCAGTCACTACCTAGATTTCAAGTGGCTCAGCCATCATCCTTCCTCAATGGGTCGATCCAAGTCGCCAGCCATACCCTCCTTCTTTCACATGCCTCTTTCTTCCACCATCGCATTCTTTTTCCCTGTTTTGCTCTTTCGGCTTCTTCCGTTGAACATGTTCTTCGCCATCTACCGGTACATACTCCCACGAGCCACGCCACAATACCACGGCCGATGAACTTCGGACAGCATACGGGGTGCCGGTTGTCCGCGGGCTGGACTGTTGATCACGATCCGATGATCCGGACAGGTCCAAAATTTGAGAGTGTCCAAGAGCCGCCGTATTCTTCCAGTTTTTCCCTTCGTTAGCTCCATCGATATTAGCCGTGCTTCCGTGTGTAGGCCATGCTGATCATCTTTTGCGCGTTTCTCTCCTCAGCCTGTCCCTGTTGTTTTTCTTTCCGTCCCTGTCCTTGTTTGTTTTCCTCTCCTCAGCCTGTCCTTGCTTGTTTCCCTTTCCCTGCCTGTCCTTGCACCTTGCACAACGCTCGCAGACCCATGCGCCATCTCGTTTCCAAGAACCGTTGCGCGCTTGGGGCTCTGGTCAAGCCGGAGATTAGTATTCCGCCACGAGGGCATCCGTTTTTTGCTTGTTCAGCTTGCTCGGCTAGAGGCTCAGGACCGGGTGCCTGGATTGTGTTTGTATCCACATGGAAATGACGGAACTCGTGGAAGGTGGAACTCGCGCTAGCCGTGTGCAACTCGGGCCGATCCCCACGATAGTCAGCCCAAGCCGTTTTCGGGAGGCTGCTCCGAAATTTTCAGGGCTCTTTCTGGGGTCACTGAGAGGATCCAGCGGTCTCCACGCCGCCCGGCCCACGCAGCGGTAGGTGGGTGGTGGTCCCCCAGGAGGCTCCGCTATGGGGATTTGCATCTGATAAACGAGATACAGTACATGAAGTAACAAGAAACATACAGATACACTACTGTACAACTTTACAACTGCGACATTACGCCATGTCAATCGAGCGCATGTACCGACACGACATTTCGGAAGGGTGGTGGTGATTGCGACATCTCGATACTACACTACACTACACTACGAAATTCCACCGACCGGTCCGACCAGGCACTCGGAGCCGAACCGAGGCTGGGCTTGGCGATTCACTCACGTGAAGAGAAGGTCTCATAGCTGGTGCCTGCTAAGTACCTGAACGACATGGTTGCAGTTGTACCATGACTAAAGAGTCTCGCTGACAGAAAGCTGAAAGACGAGACTCCGAACAACGTTATCGGAAGAGGCTCTTGCCCCTGGCACGCACACTTGCTTGCTCGCTACATGCCGCTAGGGCGCTATTCTCCGAGGAGGATAGGCTTTGTGGAAATGGCGCTAACCCATCGGAGCTTCAGCTGAGATACCTATTCTGTATGGTGGTATCAGTGTAGCACTGAGTTGATGCTATCGCCGGGGTTCACTCTTAAGTCCAGCGCGCAGATCGCCGAAATCATCAAGCAGGCCAAGAAAGGTTAGAGGGTCTTGAGCTATTTGACGAGTTTGACCCTTGACAAGAGGCTCTCCTACTCCTGAGTGGGGTGTCAACCAGCATCTACAGTTCACAGCAGACAATTATGAGTTACTTTCGGAGAAGCTATGAGTTGTGGCATGGACTAATGCTTCTTAGACATATCCCTTGAGGCTCTCAACAACAATATCCCCGGCGGCTCGCACGTCTGCATTTTTCACACCACTGAGCTGTTGATGCGCGTTATTGATGGTTCTTCTATCTTTCTCCCCGTATTCTCACCCTGCCACATTCAGTCATCCTTTTTTCCATCCGTAGCCCGTGATGTTACGAACCACACCTTCTCATTCCACAGCAATGGCTGCCTTTCGGAAACGTCCCTCCCCAGCATCGCGTTATACCTCCTGCCTTTACCTTGCGACCAGGAATCCATCTCATATCTGATTCGTCATTCTTCTTATCGCGGTGGTCGCCAAGGCGATGACTGAGCAATCTCTCGTATCCCCGGCGCATCCGCAATGTCCAAGTAATTTGGTCTTGATCTACGAGGCGCGCTACTGAATCTGTAGTTGGCCTCGTTACTCAGGTCCTCCCGGTAGATGGGAATACTGATGTCCTCAACGCCCGAGATATCAGTGAGCAGTACACGTGCTGTATCCCTTGCCTGAGATGACCATCTCGGGTCCGACGATCTTGAAAGCGGTTGGTTGAGATTGTTACGCACTGGCTGGTAGCCTGACTCTGGGTCGAATTGAGATCTTATGGCAGCCACTCTGCTAGGCACAATCGGAGGATCTAAAGTTGAGTCTAACATGACATCAGTAAACGCCCTATTCCAACCGCCGTTACCGTATCGTTGTCCGTCCTCCATCCACAGGTCTATGGTTCTAAGACGACTCGACACATGGTTAGGGCGTCGAAGAACTGCTTGGAGCTCTCTGTCCAGCTTGTTCTTGCTCCAAACACGCTCGGATTGGGATTCGCTGGAGAATATCAGCAAAAATTGGAACCGGACTTCTTGCGGACAAACTCACCTGACCAAGATGGTTCTGAGATTCTTGACATACTCCCAAACCTCTGCCAAGGTCATCTTGACGTCCCACAACACATTCATGTTCCGTTCCTTTTTGTCTTCCGTACTTGGCTCCTGATTGCCAAAGTACCCAAGAGCATAGAGTGCTGCATCAAGCCGAGAGAGCTCAAACATGCCGTATGCCAGCACAACCAGCAAGTGGTGGACCTCCACCATCTCCCTTCTCTCCCGAGGTATTTCTTGGAGATCCCTCAGTGTCTCCTCGAGCTCTCTGAGCACTCTTGGGATATCTTCGACGAGGACGGAGAGGTTCGATGGTACCTCGAGTGCGAGGATTGGGACCAACCCAGTGCATGTTGTCATTAGACCAGTAAGTGCTTCCTGAAACTCCATTTCTGCTT